TCTTTGCTATTCATCGCGGAAACAAGACTAAGCAGCTACAAAATGAACAGATTTAGGGCATCTATGGGCATCTATGGGCACCTAATATTGGCAAATATTGGCAATATGGAACCCACGACCATCAACATATGCACCCCAAAATGGTAAGTCATATTGAACATGGTTCAAACTGCAAGCAAAGGTACCTAGACTCAACCATCAAAAAAGACGGAAATTCGACCTTCAAATTGTGGGTTTCAACCGATTGAAATGAGGATTTGAGCTTTTGACCATCCAATTCTTGGTTGGTTCAAACATCCACAAAGGGGGGTTCACCGTCAACCATGGGTTTTCACATGTTTTCACTCATCCCTATGAGATGCTCGGGCCATCTCGGGCCCAGGAAAAGTTGCCGGAATCCCGTGGTTCCAATGTGAATTCCAGGCAGCTAGAAAAGTAAAACATCGTAGTAAAACCGTGTAATAATATATACCCTCTGGTTATTTGACATAGCCATGGAAAATAGCCCATTCATAGATGGTTTACCTATTAAAAATGGTGATTTTCCATGGCTATGTTAAATAACCAGATGGTAATGTCAACCTTGTTCCCCCATAACCCAACTGCACAGACCAACTGCCAACTTTCAAACGCAGCCGAAACATTTGGAAACCTGATGAAAGCTGCTTGTGCTAAGATGCTTAATCCTTCAAGTCGCATTTGGTGCGCACAGCAGCATGAAATTCAAGGCCCTGGGGATACTGTTTTGGACCTGGATGTGTCTCAAAGTCATCCGCTATTATGGACTATGACTAGATGAGAGCAGCATATGACCATAGATAGATTTATATCATATATATATATATATAGATGTTTGATTTTGACTTTTTTTTTTTGTGGCTAGCAGTAACACCACCAGTATCTCAGAGTGTGACTCTTGTCGCGTTGACACTCCAAAATGCAGTCCTAAAATCTTCAGAAATGTACATGCAGTGTATAGTATATATAAAAGCTATATTAGGCGCTGGGCGGAGAAACATGTTTCAATTGCGTTGTGGTGATGGGTCCAAGCCTTGTTCTAATGATTTTAATGACACCTTGAGACATTACCATGTTGAGACATATCCGTGTCAATGCCTCGATGTCAGCATCACTATGTATGCTTCACTGGTGTCTGAACTGTCGACTGGAAAAAGGGGCGCTCTTCATGGGCTTGGCCACTGCATGAGACACTTCACGTCGTCATTCTCTCTCCCTCCCTCTGAAATTCATTGCGAGAGCCATTTAGGCATGGATCAACATATATCGCATTAATAATTTAATATAGCATATTTTAAAAAATGATATAGTACTATAATGCTATATCAATATAATGGCATATTAATATAGTACTATACCAATATATGTTGCATATTTTGAAAAAATGGAGGGATGAACATCCATTTGTCAACTATTTTGAGGTTCACTCCGCATCTTATCCCAGCATTCGATCACTTCATATGTGCTTGGAGATCGAACAGTTAGCCAAGTTAGATGTCATGCTGCTAGTTTACGCGCAACTTGCAGGATCTTGCAGGCCAAAACCCTCGAACAAGTACCGTATCCTAAGTTAGCCCCAATGATCCCCACAGTTACTCTTTACATACTCTTTACAGTACTTTTTTTCTCGTTTTGTGATTCACTCCGCCAGCATAGTAATACCGCACAGTCTCTTTGAGCAACTTTATCGAGGGAAGCAGCAAAAATTGGTGATATGACTTTGGAGACAGGGACCGCACCTTGACACACGACTCCCATCAACCGAGTGATGATTTGTTTTGGAAAAGAGTCCCTCCATTTCTGGGCTCAAAGCGGGGGCTCAACTTGCCGTGCGCCGCCATTGCCAGTGTGAGGCCTCAACTTTTGTGGTTCGTAGCCCGCGCGCAAATGGAGGTTTGTAGCCTACATAGACATGAATCATCCCATCTCCTCAATATTCAACACAAGCTAAATGGTCCCAAAAATATGTGCGTGTATCATCGTGTATCCTACCAAACCATGGGGGCCTTTAGTATTAGGGGGAAGGGATTAGAAATGATCTAATTTTGATGATTGGGTTTGTCTAGAAATTGGGCATTTTCCCACATGGCGTTTGATACATTGTACGGGAAAAGATAATTAATCAGTGCATTGGGGGGTACACTATGTTCAGAAAACCCAAATGATTGCTCTTCATCATGAAATGAGTGGTCTACAAGCAGACGAGGATAGCCTGCTTTCCAGAGCAGTGCGGATATAACTTGTGTTATCCCCCAGTGCGCTAACAGTCGCCACCCTAATAAATAATCACACTTTTAGTATTCGTTCCTTATAAAGCCATCACTATCCACTGTTCGTTAATGAGGAAATGACGCAAGATATACATACTGTAATGATATAACCAGCGGTCACAAGCACATGGTGAATCCCTTTCCCTGGCTTAGTATTGGATTTAGTCGGGATTTGAGCCACTTAGGTGGTATTTATATGATATTAGCATATATTAGCTATATATGGTCCATTGCAGGATGGCAAACCATATCAAACCCCAATAGATATGATCAACTACCCCCTTGTTATTTAACGTACGGTAACTACATTTAAATATACGAGCTGGTATTTCATACTACCTCCGGGGCCTCGCTGTCTGGCCCGCCCTCCACATATTTAAATGTCGTTATCGTAGCAATGGAGAATCTCAATTTTTAATAAGTAAACCATCCAAAAACATCTATAAATGGGCCGTTTTCATCCATTTTCCATGGGCTATGTTCAATAACCAGAGGGTATAGATGGGTATAGTATATGACAACAAAAATCATCAACTATATATATATATATATTATAGTCTAGTATTTGACAACAAAAATCGTCAACTATAATAGTCTAATAATGATATTTAATCCACTATATGATTAGCGACGATGATTTTCACCAGCTGCAGGCCTGGCTCCATGGCTCAGTTGGATCCCGAGCCTCGAAGAAACGGCGGTCCCTGGGAGTCCCTGGGAGCCTGGAGGTCGAAGCCAAATTTTCTGATCGTTGGTTTAAGGGAAAATCTGAAAACCGGAAATTTCTTGTTTTTTTTTACCAGGAAATATGGTGAAATATGGTGGTTTCCTGTAGATTGTCCCTGAAACCAATCCCAATGATAAGAAAATTATACCATCCCAATCCCAGCAACCAACCATTTAAGGGCCATCATCCCAAATTTGGGTATACCGTATACCCAGACCAAATGATCAACTCCAAATGAGGGATGTTTTTTTTTTTTTTTTCGGGAGTTGAATCTGCTCAAATTTTACAACCACATGGTATAGTCATTGATTGGTTCAAAGCTTCCAGCCCATCTCAGATCACATCCAAGTGGTGGTCCCAGAGGATGCCATGGATCATAAGAGGTTTTCCAACGCGGTTGCGGTGGCGTCCCGCTCCGAAGTTGGTCTATAAGTCCAACTATAATATGTTGTGTGTGTGTGTCTAGCATATCAGCAGATATTATAGATTATCTACACATTATCTACTTACAAGCCAACTTCCCCAATTATGTGCGACCACCTTGTGTCAACAAGATATCAAGTGTGAATAGAATCATCGCCCCCGGCAAATCGCAGCTTGGAAGGCTATGCTGTGGATGGTTGATTGGGTCCAATTTAGTTTGCAGGAGGCTCCCCAAGTACATGTGCATGTTTAGACATGTTTAGTAACATGCCACGTGTAAAGCATTAATATTTTGCAGAGGTTGCACGACTTTGGGATGCCATGTAGCCATGGAAGCATCGACCCATCACGGGACAGCCCTAGGATTGGTCCCCAGCATCCTTCGTCGGACAGCTGGAGATACAGGAGTCGTCACGGTTCCCTTCTGGGCTGGGAAAGCCCAACGTTTCCTAGGACCTAGGAACATCATTTATTGAAAAAATACCCTCTCTGGTAAACTAACGTAGCTATGGAAAATCACCATTTAATGGGTAAATCAAGTATAAATGGCCATGTTCAGTAGCTATGTTACTTTACCAGAGGGTAAGTCTATGGTTTCCAGGGGGTATACTTGGACCATTTCAATCCATTTCACAAGTCAGGAAATTGGAGACGAGAGGTATCACGGTATCACTCAGGGGCCTTGGATTTCCCAATTGCAGACAGTGGTTGGCATTCCCAAAAGTATCTCAAGCTGGTTGGTGGTTTGGAACACGTTTTATTTTCCATAATATATGGGACAATCCTTCCCATTGACTACTATTTTTCAAGATGGTTAAAACCACCAACCAGCAAGCTGATGAAAACAAAGGGCCGAATTTCTGCTGAGGACTGAGGAATGTGGTGGGAACTGCTGTGTCTTATTGTAGTAGAGATGCAAAGCCGACACATTTTGCAGTCCGTATATAGGACAAAGGTTGCGAATTCCTTACCACTTGATGGATAGAAAGCGGGTGAACCATTTTTTAGGTCCATATGTTGTGTGTGTAATTGAAAACCGCCTAGTACCCTCTGGTAATTTAACATAGCTATTGAAAATGACCATTTATAGTGGATTTTCCCATTAAAAATGATGATTTTCCATAGTTATGTTAGTTTACCAGAGGGTATATACACAAGTTTGACACCTGGAAAGTATGAGGTGAATATCATCCAGAACGTCCTGGAGCAACTCTTCAATCTTTTATGGGGGCCCTCATGGAACATCCTAAGAACGGTTACAATACTTCACCAATAGATGGAATGCTCCCAGCCTCGAATCCATGGAAATCGCCATCTATGTCTAACTTGTTAACTAGTTATAGTCTAATTAAATGGAGTTTACTTATCAATGGATTGGTTTAAGGGAACATTTACAGGAAACCATAGATTTTCCATTAAATATGGTGTTTTCCTGTAAAATTTCCCTTAATCTAATCCATTGAACTTAGCACTTCATATGGTTTCTAAGCCATGGTAAACCAGTTTGGCGCCATCTTCTCCCGGCGCAAAAGGACCCAACGCCTGAGGCGCTATGTCGCCGCATGGCCGCAGAGTTGCTTGGCGATGGCGATTAAATGAGCTATGGTCAATACTCATGGTTAATAACCAGTAATAGGGGCTAGTCATCCAATGGTTCATAGGGATTTATAATAACCATTATAAGGATCCTTATTATGGATGGGATGACCATCAACCGTATAGTGAGTATTGACCATGGCTCAAATGGGTTTGACAAATGAAGGATTGGAGCAATCTTAGTGGTGATTTGCGCAGCATGGGCGGGCATTGGGAAAGAAATCTGGCAATGGGCCATACTGGGCCCAATTCTTAAGGACAATTTCATTTGGACATGGAAAGGAATAGAGGGATTTCGCCAGGATAGAGTGTTTGTAGCATCGAAATCCGGGATAAACAACTTATGTGGGACCCTACCAATGGGGGGGGTTCGGGTAAAAGCTGTTGGCTCAGGTTGGTGAAGGGTTGTCATTTGCCAGGCAGGTCATTTGGTGAATATCAGGCAGAAAGTGACAGTCAACACCCTAAAGCCGCATATAGATAGAGCATATAGATAGTTTACACAGAAAAAAATGATGGATAAAATAATTGGCAAAATTATTTTTAGAATTTTTATGGATAAAATGGATCATAAAATGGCACATTTACTGACAAAGGGCAGGTATACATATATCCCACCTGGAAGGCGCCTAATTCTGAACCCTCACGAGGGTAGCCAGTCAGTGCATAGCTGCTTACCCTGTTCAACTTGCAACGGCTGTAAGCCTTCCCTTTCATCATTTTCCAGCCAGAGGTTTATCATGTTCAATATATATGTATATAATTATGCTATAAGCCCAGGATTTTGTCACCATCATGATTTAATGTCTATGTTGATATTGAATAAACACCATGGGTCAGCCATGTCGCCAATCAGCCAGATGGTTTTGACAATTCCATGGCTCAATTCCAGGCTCGAAGCGAATCTGCTACGAGCGCTTGAGATGGGTGTGCAGAAGGCAGCAATGCCACGGGTTAGAGGATCGTCGCATGGCAACAAAAACCTTTGGTCAGATCATCTGACATAGCTTTGGAAAATGAATGATTTATCTGTGGAAAATTGCGATTTTTCATGGCAACAATGGCAACAGTTCAATTACCAGAGGATTGTTACTTACTTGGGAGCAGGCGTTACAGTAGGATTCCGGAGCTGTGGGATAACCAAGGGGACTTACCAGGCTTAGATGAAGCAGATCCTTGATCTGGGACGATCCACCAAGTGTGTTGGTTCTCATCATAGATGTCCCAAATTGTTTTATATATATATATATATAGAGAGAGAGAGATAGATAGATAAGATAGATAAGATATATTAGATAGATAGATAGATAGATAGATCGATCGATTAGATTAGATAAGATTAGATTAGATTAGATAGATTAGATAGATTAGATAGATTAGATAGATCAGATAGATTAGATAGATTAGATAGATAGATAGATAGATAGATCGATTAGATTAGATAAGATAAGATTAGATTAGATAGATTAGATAGATCAGATAGATTAGATAGATTAGATAGATAGATAGATAGATAGATAGATAGATAGATAGATAGATAGATCGATCGATTAGATTAGATTAGATTAGATTAGATTAGATAGATTAGATAGATTAGATAGATTAGATAGGTCAGATAGATTAGATAGATTAGATAGATTAGATAGATTAGATAGATTAGATAGATTAGATAGAATAGATAGAATAGATAGAATAGATAGAATAGATAGATAGATAGATAGATTAGATTAGATTAGATTAGATTAGATTAGATTAGATAGATAGATAGATAGATAGATAGATTAGATAGATTAGATAGATAGATAGATAGATAGATAGAAAGATAGTGATAGATAGTGATAGATAGTGATAGATAGTGATAGATAGTGATAGATAGTGATAGATAGTGATAGATAGTGAGAGATAGTGAGAGATAGTGCGAGATAGTGAGAGAGAGTGAGAGATATTGATAGGTAGTGATAGATAGTGATAGATAGTGAGAGATAGTGATAGATAGTGATAGATCGTGAGAGATAGTGAGAGATAGTGATAGATAGTGATAGATAGTGATAGATAGTGATAGATAGTGATAGATAGTGATAGATAGTGATAGATAGTGATAGATAGTGATAGATAGTGATAGATAGTGATAGATAGTGAGAGATAGTGAGAGATAGTGAGAGATAGTGAGAGATAGTCAGAGATAGTCAGGGATAGTCAGAGATAGTCAGAGATAGTGATAGATAGTGAGAGATAGTGAGAGATAGTGAGAGATAGTGAGAGATAGTGAGAGATAGTGAGAGATAGTGAGAGATAGTGATAGATAGTGATAGATAGTGATAGATAGTGATAGATAGTGATAGATAGTGATAGATAGTGATAGATAGTGATAGATAGTGATAGATAGTGATAGATAGTGATAGATAGTGATAGATAGAGATAGATAGAGATATATAGAGATAGATAGAGATAGATAGTGATAGATAGAGATAGATAGATTTAGATTAGATTAGGTTAGAATAGATCAGATTAGATTAGATAGATAGATAGATAAATAGATAGATATAGATAGATAGATGGATAGATGGATAGATGGATAGATGGATAGATGGATAAATTCGATTCGATTCGATTCGATTAGATTAGATTAGATAGACAATTAGATAGATGAATAAGATATATTTTCAGATAAGTAAGATAATTAAGACAAACGAGACAATTAAGATTATTAAGACACGCAAGATAAGTAAGATAAGTAAGATAAGCAAGATAAGTAAGATAAATAAGAAAAGGAAGATAAGTAAGACAAGTAAGATAAGTAAGGTAAGTGAGATAAGTAAGATAATTAAGATAGATAGATAGATAGATAGATGGATAGATTAGATTAGATTAGATTAAATAGATAATAATATAGATAAATAAGACACATAATAAGATAAGTAAGATAATTAAGACAAGCAAGATAAGTAAGATCAGTAAGACAAGCAAGATAAGTAAGATAAGTAAGATAAGTAAGACAGGTAAGATAAGTAAGGTAAGTGAGATAAGTAAGATAGATAGATATATAGATAGATAGATATATAGATAGATAGATAAATTATACTGTAGTTGGCTGTTGAAGAGGGCTCCCGCATTCTTTTTCAGAACGAGCTAGCTTACAATAGGTACATGACGAAACTTGGTGTACACATGATTTAATGTAGCAATGACATGCTGCCAAATTACAATATCATATGCTTGGATCCTCTCATGTTTACTTTCCCCGCCCTGGCCCCGCGATGATATTCCTTAAAAATCATTCTGTCTTAGGTCTAGGTAGAATCATATTGTTGGTTGTTCTCATTATCCCCAGCATAGCACCTTAAAATAATTGGATTTCCCACTTCCACAGGATCTGATCATTGCAGGCCGCAAGCGTTTTCGAAAAGAGCGCAGATGCCCAAATCATTCCAAGGGGCCAGTACGTCAGTGAGGGCGAGGTACCGGGGTTGCCCAATGGCGGGCCGCTGGTGGAGGGTTGATGGTGGAGGGTTGATAGCTGGGAAAATCGGCCATCTAAATGGGGAAGTTTCCAGCCATGTTTGATTGCCAGCGGGTAGATTGGCTTTTAGATGGTTTTCGAGTGGTCTTGATTCTGTTTGATCACCGTGGATGGTTATCTTAAGATCTAGAGTTTTTTTTGTGAGGCCAGCGGAGTATTCCCCAACAGAATTTAGGGGAATGAATCCATGCTAATTAATTTTGATCTAAAGGAACCTCCAAACGATAAAGAGAGTTGGCTCAAGGATGAAATTCGACTGAGCTGCTATGTGTACCCCCATGTGTTCGAATTGTAATCCATGCCTAAAACTCTCAAAAGTGGCTGCTGAGGATGCCCTCCCAGAATTGGTTGAGGGGAAAATTTACGGGAGACAGCACCATATTTGGGTGTGGGTGTAGAAACCATGGTTTCCTTCAGATTTTCCCTGGAACCCCCAACCATGTCCTACCATTCCTATGGCAGCCAGGCAGCGAACCTGTCCTCCTTAACCTCTTGGGGCGTGGGATCTTGGAAGGGGAATGGGGCGTTATTTGCCGAGGGTGCTCGCAGGATCAGATAGTTTGATGTTGTTTGGTTTTCCGGCTTATGATACAAAGGTCCTAGAGAAACCCTCATGCTAAATGCACAATATTTGGGCACGGATCGAGGTCTTTTCAGGGTTTCCTTCTTGATATAACCGATTGCAAGGGGTGGAGGTCTCAGTGCTTCACCCAGGATTGAGTCTTCATGTTGGCTGGAAGCTCAACAGGGAACTGCTAGGGGAACCAGGAACCCAGCTGCATGATGGCATATGCTGGATGGTCCTTGTCATTTCTGGGGCGTATTTCCTTTGGCGTCTGCGACTATATGTGGGCTGCATTTTTTCCCATACGCTCGTAGGGTAAAGTACAGTGTATCTCCACTATCGACATGCAGTTGTGTGTCATCTCATTCTTGCTGGTCATCCTACCTGGCTGAGTGCATCTTACAGTACCAGGGGAATATGATCAGAAGATAGACGGTTCTGGCCTGAAAGCTGGGATCTGCCACAGTATTCCCTCGCCACCGACGGGCACCCACACAAATCATGATATATTATATATATATAATATAGAATCACCCCAAATCCTTGATTTTTGGACCGCCAAATCATGATACCACTTCTTGCGAGGTTTTCACCGAAAAGATTTTGGCACCCATTTTTTTGAATCACTCTTTGGACGTAAAAACACTATTCTTTTGTTACGCATTTCCCGTGATGTTCACTGGATGTCACGTGCACAAAATGCGTACGCGAGGTTTCCACAGCCACATCGAAATCATCAGCCACTTGCTCCATCTCTGTGTGCAAATGGTTTGGCACCCAGATGTGACAGGTCTTGCTCCTCTTGGGTCTTAGGAGATTTACCATCTGGTTATTTAACATAGCCATGGAAAATCACAATTTTTAATAGGTAAACCATCTATAAATGGGCCATTTTCCATGGCTATGTTAAATAACCAGAGGGTAATTGTCCATTGGCAGCAGTGGCACTTGAAATGTCAATATGTGTACCTCTGTGGTGGCAGCTATGCCATAGTGGTGGCTGGTGATTTCGGGCAGAGGTTGTCAAAATTATTGCTACGTGTTGCGTATCATGTGCAAGCGCAAACGGCGAGATTCCCCTGAATAAAGCATGAACCACGCTCAAACAACATGATGTTGCTGGGACCCTCTCCCGGATCACCCATGTAAGATATATGATGATATATGAAAACACACACACACATATATATATATATATATACATATATATATATATACATATATATATATATATGTATGTATGTATGTACGTATGTATGTATATATATATATATATGTGTGTGTGTTTGTGTGTGTGTGTCATATATTAACAAGTCAACCTGCACATGACCTTTCCCATGTTTTAAGCTGTGGTGCAGCCCGCCTCAGCCCCGGCTGAGGCGTTGTTTCCTCGTCCTGAGCAGGTGACCTGGTCATGGGGCAGCCAGATGCAGCTTATCCTAATATGTATATGATTAATATATACATAACTTAATGTCATACATATTAATATATATATATAATATCTACATATATATATATCAAAATAGTGTAGGTTATACTATATATATTGATGTATGATAACTAATATGCATATGTATATAGACTTCATGTTCTAAACACACGCACGCACGCACACACACACAGACATACATACATACCTACCTACCTACCTACCTACATACATACATACATATATATATACACAATATATATATATATATTTACAATATGTATACATATATATATATATAAATAGATTGATAGATCGATCTAGATAGATAGATAGATAGATAGATAGATTGATAGATAGATAGATAGATAGATAGATAGGTAGATACATATTTACATGTTGCATGTGATATGCCCCATTTTTTTTTTTACCACATCTAGTTTGTAAGAATTTCAGTTTTGCTTATCATGTGGTCGCGAAATTCATTGGAATTCGGGGTGCCCCATTGTTTTGAATTCCCTTACTGTAAGTATCTGTAAGTCAAGTATCCCATACCCAAAACCTATGGGAAAAAACCGCTGTCGCCAGACAGAGACGAGCGTGCAAGCGAACTCAAGCCACTTAGTTGGAGGATGGCTAAAGGATATTCCAGCAGCTGGTTTTTTTCTGGCAAATGGCTGGAATCCCTAGCGACAATGGATACATACATAGAAGCAGAATACAATACAAGTAAGAACCATGGGGAATCACAATGTGACACACTGAACATCAGTGAATGTTATTTAGTTATTTTAAATCTATTTCTCCGCGGGATTCATGGTGATTTATTGAACTTATGGACGTTTGGGGGAGAAGGAATCCAGCAATTCAGCAATTCACGGCGGATCACAGGTGGGTCACAGTCTCTGGTCTCGGGTGAAACAGGTCCTTGGGTTTTTTCGACCTTTGACCGGCGACACTGCCAAAAGTCAGAAAACGACTTCCTATTTCCTCACATTTCAGTGCCGTTGTGGTCACTCATGGTCACTCTCAAAGAACTGTTCGGATCCGATCCTTTCCGGCACATCACGGTGGCTGAGGATCGGTCTTTTCCTCCCACCAGGGTGTGCAAGTTGGGTCGAATGGCAGGCCACGTGACAGGGCAGTAGCTCGGCAGCAGGGCCAGGACACGGATCATGGGTTGGATGAATTTGGATATGAATGGATCATGGGTTGGAAGTGGTGATGGAACAAACAGAAATAGTGATTTTAGCATTTTAGCAAATGTTATTTAGCAAGACCAAGAATATTATGGCCTTTTTTCCTGGGAATGCTGACTTGGTTTTGATATAAACAACACATTAAAGGGAACATCCAATCAGATAAATGGGGATGGCAGAGGACTGGAGAGCGATTTCTCATTTGTCAAAGAAAATTGAGGCTCAGAAATGGTGGATTTACCTTACACTTGCCACTTTAATCGCATTTTTTTACAGGGAAACATGTACGATCAACTCCATTAGGGATCTGGAGTAGGTCCAGGGTGGCTCATACTCGTAGCAGGTCATGGCAAAATGATGCAAAATCTATGACATACCTGAAATTCAACGAGAATTGTCCAAAAACGTATATCTGGTTGGTGGTTTGTTTTTTTTAATATTTTTCCATACTATATTGGGAATAATCCTTCCCATTGACCTTCATATTTTTCAAGATGGTTGAAACCACCAGATATTAAACATTATTAAACTATATTACCGTAATTAATACAATATTAACACATCCCCCCGCGCGTAGATAGGCCCAGTTAGATGCGAAGATATCACCGGAAAATCACCGAATCGGCAAATCGTCATAATCGTCCAAGGTGCAACACCCAAGCAGGAACTATCAGGTGGGGAGATTCAAAAAGGCTGGTTTCAGGTGGTTTTACAGTATGGTTCTAATATGTTCTAATGATATTTGATGAATATTTGATGATTGTTTGATGATTGTATGATTATTTGACGATCATCAAATCGTCGTTCTTGAGCTGTGAGCCAGGCCAATACCGTTTTTTTGATGGGAGGGTCTGGGTGTTGGCCCTAAAATGGTGGCCCGTTCTCTCATTTATCATACATTCATCCATTTTGATGGCAGATTTTTCACTCGCCAACAATTGATCACACGGACCATTTTTTAAAGATATGATGGGGTCCCATATTGATACTAGAATCCCGGAAGACCTTGGTTTTCAAGACATCGCATCAACACTGCTATCAAATATACCATTATTGTATGCTACCGTATGTTGATTGACACAAATGAGTCACACATATACATACATATACATACATTACATTACATTACATTACATTACATTACATTACATACAATCATACAATCATACAATATATACATACAAATATTTGACAATAGTCATACACCATTACAATCCATGATTATTCGCACATCACCCGGCTCTCTCCAGGTGCCAGGTTGGCGCCCGGTGGTCGATGCTTCAACGGAGACGCGACCCAAGGTGGACCCTGGAATTGATTGAAAAAACCAATAGCGGCATCCAAAAGGTGATGTCATGATTACCCTCTGGTAAATTAACATAGACCCTGAAAATGACCAATTTATTGTGGAAACGAGTCTTCCAACCCCTATCTGGCAGGGTCTATGTTAATTTACTGGAGGGTAATACTTGTTAATAATTGTTTATAATGGTCAACATACCACTTATATATAAATATAAAAATGGGGGATGGTGCAAATGGCATTGTTCTACCCAGATTCTGATGTGATTGCCTGAGAGTTTCGGCCGTGATTTGTTTGAGCTCCGGCTCCATCAGGAGAGTTCACATGTTTATACAATTTAAGGATATCTAAGGCGCTTATTGCTGGTTGATCTTAAACATCAAATGATATCGAATGATACTTAAATCTCACTGGATGATAGAACTTATATGGTACAAACCCGAATTTCAACATGTTCACAGCATATGGGGTTATGGGGGTGTCTTAAAATGGGGGATCCCCAAATCACCATGGCGTTCAATACGTTTCAATCCTCAAATGGTGCAACATTTGGGATGATTTGCGGGTACCCCCTCCACTGTAACGAAACCTCCATATACTGTAGCCATAATAGTATGCCATAGTTTTTTGAGGGCACAGCTCGGGCAGGGAGACCTGAAGGCGATGAAGGGAGGGAGAGAGAGAGAGAGAGAGTTTTTTGAGGGATATATATATATATATGATCCATAGTTTTAGCCATATTTAGCCATATATAGCCATAGTGATACCCAGCTGTGCCTTGATGGCAGGGGGGCCCTCCAGCCTGGCGGCGCAGCATCAAAGCAACGGCACCCAACGTGCAGATCAAAAAGAGGGGTTCCCAAGGTTTCCAAAGAAAAGGATGGTTTAAATAATTGCAAATCCTATGAACATGTAGTTTAGAATGGAAAATCCCAAACAAAAATGGATGAGTTCGAGGTTTTTCCATGAGCTAAGAAACCTCATGAAACCTCCATGCGGCAAAAGTCATGGGAAAATCATAAGGAAAATCCACTATATGGAGGTTGATAGCTAGGACAATCATCGAACGAAACGGTGGATTTTCCAGCAAGCCACGTTTGATTCGCCGGAGTATTCATATAGTCATAGAGAAAACATGACAGAACCATGTGGTAATAGGCCTACCAGTTGGCAGATGGATCCTAGCAACAATGGTGAAACATCCAGTTACAAGAAATACCCGAAAGCTGCAACTAACATGATGACCCTGCCGAAAGGTACGGGTTGGATGACAATTCTGAGATATTCTGAGCTCTAGTTTGAATAGGTGGTTCTCATCTATGTTCGTTGAATAGGTGACAGGTCGAGCTGGTTGGGGGTATCGTAAGGGTTTATTTGAAATAGGGTACGCCAAAAATTTGATGGTCCGATGGTTGATAATGATGTTTCCTATGAAACTGCCATTTAAGGAGGATATACCGCATTTTCAGATACAGTACCCAAAAAGATGTCGAACAGTGTTTCCAGGATGGGACATAGATGATGCGTTGTTCCCATCATTTCGAGGTTTCAACGTTCTCTACCTATTTTGGGGTTGCTCTACTTGATTGGAAAGGGAATCTAATCATAAGTAATATGACGCAATAATACCCAATATGTGTTTTAACAACTAAATTGGAAATTTTGTTTGATCAATGATTTACTGTAGATGATGTTTAGTTGATGGCTGATTGGGTATCATATGGGGTTATGCTAGCTGTGTATGGGGATGATGAAATATCTAGGGTTTTTTTTTACCAGGAAAATGGGATGGGCATGATGGGCCACCTTGAGGATTCTCAGATCAAGCGCCCACGAAACGCCATAGTTTGGGCCTCAGAGCCCAGGCGGACTTTCAGGTCGTGGCCCTTCATGTTGTCCCCTTTGATCCGCTGATACTTCAACACCGATATACTGAACAGGTTTCTATACTAGACCATACTAGACCTTTAATGTTCCACCGCTCACATGTTTGGGAAACCAGTTTTTTCCATACTTTCTGTGCTTTGTGGCAAGCCAACACCATCCCCAGCTCTCGCAGGTGCGCATAGGTGGCGGTTGGCACGTGCTGCGCAATGACCCAGAGCCCTCCGAGAAAACTGAGAGTGCCGCGGGAACAGCCCTGGCGGTGCCGGGAAACTTGGAGGGCTATGAAGGTATTGGTAGAAATATGGTTTGTAAATGGCATTAAATGGCTGAAATGTGGTAAACCATGGTAAACCCAATGATAAACCTCTAATTATTGGGGATGGTTTATTGCATTGGCTTTGCTACATTAAATAAACTTCATTCTAGGACACATAAAGCAGTGATAAATGTTCATAAAGTATTATCAAATAAATGGTTCATGGGGATAAATGGTGATTTTTTTTCAAGGTGGTTGTCATCAACCAAGCCAGAAGTCTCCTTTTTTTCCGGTTGATGAAATAGAGGAGTGGCCCCGGCCTCCATGTTTTACAGGTAGATGATGAAAAAAAAGTAGATCCAAAGGATGTCCTTGACCTAACTCACCGAACATGGAGATAAAATGTGCAAATAGGTACCACACTTACCAACAGAATATAGCCATGGTTAGGCAATGGCAATTGCCATATGTGTGTTATGTTGCAGTTTCTGCTCAGCCTCTATATGATTTTTGATATACCCTCTGGTTATTTAACATAGCCATGGAAAATGGCCCATTTATAGATGGTTTACCGGTTTACCTATTAAAAATGGTGATTTTCCATGGCTATGTTAAATAACCAGACGGTAATTCGGGTAGGGATCAACGTCAACGTGGATGTGGCACTTGGATCGCAGATTGAGATCCCATGAGTAGTGCAGCGCCAAGTCCCTTCTGATAATGATGACCGGCTGGAAAAAAATATACCAGCTTATTTTCCGCACACATATATATATATATATATGTACATTATATACTGTAATATAATGTAATATATATATATACATTATATTATGTGTATATATATAGATATCATATATATATATATATGTAGAGGTGCCCCATATTGTTTGGGGTTTCCCCGCTTGCCCCTCCGTCTCGCCCGCTCCGAGGCGCACCTCCAGCCCAGCAAGTTCCCCCAGCAGAAGTCGTAGCCAGGGCCCTGGCGAAAAATCCCTTTGGTAAACTAGCTAACACTAACATAGCCATGGAAAATAGCCCATTTATAGATGATTTTCCCATTGAAACCTCCATTTATCAGGGATTTTCCATGGCCATGTTAAATAACCAGAGGGTAATGATCAAGAATAAGAGTCACCAAGAATATTCAAGAATAATATGTATTGACTAGCATAGTGTTAACTAACTATAACTAAGGGATCATGAATAATAATGTAAATATTTAGTGTAAATATTATAACAAATAAAGTAATATCACTAATCATCTCCCAGTCATATCTCAATATCATCCCCAAATGGCAGGTTAAAAACAACATTGTTTGATAGGTAATTCCTCTATAAATGGACCATTATCCATTATCCAATTGTCCATAGCTAATGTGGGTAAAACAATGCCATAAACCATCCGCCAGTCATTACCAGTTTCATAGGTGGTATAAACATGAATAAACCATTCCCAGTCAGTCATGGGTGGTTTATGACATTGTTTTACGTCCCACATGATTGACAATCACAATGTTTGATAGGTACCCTCTGGTAAACTAACATAACTATGGAAAATCACCATCTTTAGTGCGAAAACCCACTATAAATCACCATTTTCAATAGCTATGTCAGCCATTACCAGAGGGTAAATCCTCTATAAATGGGCCATCATCCATAGCTGCCATAGCTGCCTGTGGAATTGCCGAAGGGCGCAGCAATTTCCAATTGGTAAGTTCTACTTGGACTACTTGGACTGGAAAGTTCTACTTGGATTTCCCTTCTATCACTGGATTGGTTTTCTTGGGAAAGTTTTAACCGGAAACCCATGGGTTTTTACCATGAAGATCATGGGGTTTTCCGGTTAAATTTTTCCCTTAAACCAATCCATTGATTCTAGATTGGCGAGAACTTGGAAATTCTTGTAGTCTGATCGGGTAGGTACTACTCAAGTTCCTTAGTTATACTGTAAATGTCAGCGTTTATCCACCATCTTTGGGGAACAGCATGTGATACCAATTTCTCTTGCGAATCTTGGAACATGTTATGAATTGCGCCACCATATCTTCTTAAATGGAGGCTCCGGCAGCTTCCTTTCTAAAAAGAATATGTGCGGAGGTCATTGCTTGAGAAACTCATGAAAGTTCCGTGAGAAAGCATTATTCTGAAGACGTCCTTTCAAAGATATCAAATGGAGTTGGCGTAACTGAAGATGAGAATTTGATCATGTACAATGAGGTAAACCCAATATAAACGATCCCCAATTTGGGGTTATTCCATGGGTATATCTCTAGAAATGGGATGATCGAAAGGGACCCCCTGATGGTCACGGACCCTTGGAAAGACCTGGGCTGAACACCCAGGGTTCATTGAACCCGAGGGTTCGAAAGTGTTGAAAGATCATTCATTTCATCCATACGGATACATGTTTAAGAACCAGGAAGTTCAACCAACAGGGTGAGTTCAACCAAGGGAAACTAGGCATGATCGGTAGTGTCAGGTGATTTCATGATATTTGATGAGATTTAGTTGGATATTAATTGGGATTTGCATGGATTTACTGTAACGAAAGGACCATAGAATAGTAAAAATATTTCATTAACTATATTATATGTGGGGGCACTTAGATTGCAATTTCCATCAAATCATATCAAAATCCCAACGGAATTTTAAAAAACTATAGTTTCATCATAATCCGACACACCAGTTTTTCCATTAAACCATATTAAACCATATTAAACCATATTAAACCATATTAAACCATATTAAACCTATGTTATGTTCCCAAAAATCATCTGGATACACCCCATTTGGAAACTCAATGCGTTCACTTGCTTTGTTGCGTTTAGTTGGGGGGAAAGATTTCTGGAAGTCGGTGCGTGCTGCGTCCAGCTGGTGTTTTGGAAGACATGTTCGGAATTTCCCTAATGTGTCAGTTCCATTGGAAATTGGATTGTGTTGGGTTTTCCCCTTTTGAAATTTGGAGATGTGGTTGTGTTGAAATGATGAGGGGGATTGGTGGCGAGGGATTCCTTTTTTCCATTTTAGGGTATCGCCGGAGTATCGCCAGAGTATCGCCGGAAATATGTGAGTTGTCTTGCTTTGTCTTGTCTTGTCGCTGCTGCTGCTGCTGCTACTGCTGCTACTGCTGCTGCTTTTGCTGGTCCTGCTGCTGCTGTTGCTGCTGCTTACCTTCCCACTACCGAGCTGCGTGCACCACAAGAGGTTGCACCTGTGTCTTTGGTTGGTCGCTTCACTTTGACTAAACTTGCGTCCCATTGCGTTTTTTCAACAAAATCATTCAAAATAACCTAAAATCCTAAAACAATGACTGCATAGATGCAGCGTCCACAATATGATTCCTAATTTTAGAGCCAATAAAAAAACACTGAACATTAAACAAAATATATGATTGCTGGCGCACAGCGTCCCATGCTGATTTGCATAATTTTGCACTGACTTCTGCGACTTCCTGAATGCGCAGCGTCCCATTGTGATTTGTTTTCAAACAGACGTTGCACTGACTTTCCCGACTGGGTGTATGCTAGGAAACACTGTGCCTTAGGCCCAGACCCTGAGCGGCATCCCTTTGCCCATGGAGCTCCATCCAGGAATCCCTGACTTCGGGTGAGTGAATAATAGTTATAATTAAATTAGGTATATTGTTAATTTCAATTGTATTGTTCTCTGCTCTTTGTCGTTTGCGGCGGGGTTTTTTCTCCTTCCAAGAATGTTTTTCCCTACCTAGTATTTGGAAGGCTGGTGAGATGTCATTTCAATTGTATGGTTCTTATATCTTTAATAATTGTTAATATATAATTGTTAATGGTTAATTACATGCTCAATAATCATTAATATATAATGGTTAATGTGGATGATTCTTTGGGGGAGCCGCTATTAAAATGGTGAATAATGGTGATAATAAATAATAATAGTATTCCCATGTATTCCCCAAATGGACGATTATTCAGGTTATTATCAACTCATTTTAATTATATATATAATATGTGATTATAGTTCGGATATCGAGGGAAACTCCCAGATCATTATTATTTAGCTTCATGCGAATCCATATTTACCTGCGTTAAATACGTATACTTCAGATGATATTTGATCATCTACAGGTGAGTGAACTGGGGTGTAGATGATCAGGTATTTTTATTTATTGGTTTACTGATGAGTTCTAGTTCTATTGATTTCTAACTAATTGGGAGCAATGTAATTACCCTCTGGTAATTTGAAATAGCTATCGTAAATGGCCCAGTTATAGCTGATTTACCTATTAAAAGTTTATTAAAAGTTGTGATTTTCAAGAGTTTTTTGTATGTTTACCAGAGGGTAATGGAATGGTGGGCTTGCCATTTTTTGCCTTTTTGGTGACTGTAATGATATTCACCAGGATTTCCCATGTCCCTTATTTCCGGCTGGTGGATGATCATTTCTCCATGGGGGATGATCTCCAGATTGGTTGGTGAAATCCCCAATTTCCAGCGGCAGAAATGGCCACAACTGGCGACGCGCCAGGGACACACCCATCGAACGCTTTACCTTCGGCAGGGGGGCACGGGACCGCGGGGATACTCTCTGGTAATTTAACACAGCTATGGAACATGATGAACATGGCCGCCATGGCCGAAAGCTCCATGAATTAGTTAGTAAAGACGGTGATGTTCCATTATCCATAGTTCGGTTCACTTACCAGAGCGTATCACCAAGAATATCCACGAATCTCTTTGGGGTCTTCAGGGCACTTTAGAATGGTTTAGGACGCTTTATATAGGACACTGGAAAGGTGTGGCTTTGTCCGTAAAACAAGAACCACGCCCAAATATTGGGTCGTGTGATGCTGAAGGTTGCTCATCCTTCGTACGTGTCAAGCCATCCCAGTTCAACATCAGAATTTTGGATGTTCAATGATGTTCAAAGGAAGCCAACTCATGTGGTAAACCCAATCAACATCCATAAACCATCCCCAAGTCATCCATAAACCATCCATAACCATCCATAACCAGATTTTTATGGAATGGTAAGGGTACCTACCCATCAATCAATGGGGTTCCATAAACCATCCATAAACCATCCCCATTTACGGCAGTTGTATAAACTCTCCAAGTGAGGCGCTTACGCCTCGGGCTCTTCCTTTGGCCACACCTACGCCAGCAAAGATCCGGAGAAAGTGGCCCGCGAGGTGCTGAGGGGTCTTGGAAAGAGTTTTGCTGAGGAAAAACGTGGGAAAAAAAATGGGAAAAACATTCCGGATATTCAGATGGATTCATCTGGATTTATGATATGAAAATGACTTGGGTTTTGGTATCACCCATCGATTGGCCCAGATTGTTGAGGGGGGGTCCAAGGCCAGCAATCAAATTGAAAAACAAAGAAGTTGGGGCAGCTTTGGGTAGTTTCAAGACTGGAAAAATAATGGTTTTTACATGTGTTTACGCCCGCAAATAGTGAACTTTGGCAAGTTGGATATGGTTGGTGGTTGGTCTAACCATGTAAGAAAAGTTTTGGGAGGCACATCCAGGCCCCAACTTTGCCTGTCATGGACCTGCAGGTGGACCGCGGCAAGTCTGGGACCTCAGCCTCCTCAGACCAAGACGATTCTGGTGTGTTCGTGCGCGCTATGTTTTCCTGGCCAACCTTGGATGCATATAATTTATATTGAAAGCCAGGAAAACGAAACATAAATTTTGATAACATCCAACCTTGTGTTTTCCTTGAAATCGTTACTGTTTCAAAATTTTGCAATGTTACCGGATGACGAAGCAGCTCTGAAGATTTTTCTTTGCCGACCATCTAGGACTGGCTGTGTACTGTAGGATCGGGATCGGGATTCTGAGTTCAGCTGAGTTCATCACTGATTGGTGGTTTGGAACATTGTTTATTTTTCATTATTTTTCCATATATTGGGAATAATCATCCCAACTGGACTTTCATATTTTTCAGAGGGGTTGAAACCACCAACCAGATCAGGTTAAGACACTACGGTCTCTTCCGCGTCTTGAAGCCCCGGGAGCCCTTGGACAGCCCCACTTTGGCGCTGAGCAACGGCAGCAACGGCGGCGGGACCCCGCGCAGCCTGCGCACACCCAGCCCCAGCCCGCGGCGGAGGGCGGAGTCGTCGGAGCTGGTGGATGTGGAGGAAGTGGATGAAGATGAGGAAGAAATCCCAGGCAGGGGATAGGTATGGTATGTATGGTTACTATGAGGGGCATGGAACGTTTCCTATGTAAGGTAGGTATGGTATGTATGGCATGTAATTATGTTTGGTATTGTATGTGGAGATCAATCATCTGAAAATGTCTGAAAATGTCTGAAAACGAAAGTCACCCTAAAATACACCCAGTGGTTTGAGAGATTTTGATGGTGAAATTTTAGGGTGTATCACCTTCAACCCATTCCATCCCATTCCTACTATGGAATTATTGGTCGCACTGTTCATATTGGGGGTGTTGAACATTGGGAGGATTATGGTAATTGGTCATTTCTGGTATTTTTTGGGGCCAATCATTTCTTTGATCCACGTGTGTTCTCAAGATCCAACCCAGTTACCCCATGTTACCATACCCTTAGACACAAGAGGGTCTAGGATGGTCTGCTTAGGGCTCCAAAAAATAAAGGTCTGGAATGGTACTTTTTCCCGAATGCGTAGCAAAGGGTTCCCGTTTATAGTCTGGGGGTCTGGGGGCTGGACCCTTGTTCGCCTCCAGTTGCTCGTCGCGTCGTTGCCGCGTCGTCGGGGGGTCGTCGTCGGGCCGTCGTCGGGTCGTCGTCGGGTCGTTAATTCCGTGTCGTGTCTATGGGGGAAGCTGCAAAACCTCTCCTTTTTGAAGGTCTCCAAGTCGGTTGTCATGTCGTTTTGCGTGGCAGGCGTGGCACTTTGTGACATTCCAACCTGTGTGATAACGTGTCAAAAGTGTCAAAATTGGAGGAAGCCTCGCACGAAATGCTCGTTTTGCTGCGCCCACGTGTCTCGTCTCGAGTCTCTGCTTTTCCTGTGGCCTCGCCGTGTCTTTGGGGGAAGCTGCAAAACCATTGCAAAACCGTGTCTCGTCTCGAGTCTCTGCTTTTCCTCTGGCGTCGCCGTGTCTATGGGGGAAGCTGCAAAACCTCGCTCGTTTTGCTGCGCCCACGTCGCCGTGTCTATGGGGAAAGCTGCAAAACCTCACAAAGTAGCATTGGGAATTATACTTTGTGCAAGCTTTGTAGTACAAAGTAGTACTGGAACGTACTGTGTGCAAGCTTTGTAGTACAAAGTAGTACTGTGAACGACTTTGTGCAAGCTTTGTAGTACAAAGTAGTACTGGGAAGTGCTTTGTGCAAGCTTTGTAGTACAAAGTAGTACTGGGAAGTCCTTTGTGCAAGCTTTGTAGTACAAAGTAGTACTGGGAAGTCCTTTGTGCAAGCTTTGTAGTACAAAGTAGTACTGGGAAGGACTTTGTGCAAGCTTTGTAGTACAAAGTAGTACTGGGAAGGACTTTGTGCAAGCTTTGTAGTACAAAGTAGTACTGGGAAGTACTTTGTGCAAGCTTTGTAGTACAAAGTAGTACTGGGAAGTGCTTTGTGCAAGCTTTGTAGTACACAGTAGTACTGGGAAGTGCTTTGTGCAAGCTTTGTAGTAAAATTTGTGCTGGGAAGTAGTTTCTGCAAGCTTTGTAGTACACAGTAGGACTGGGAAGTGCTTTGTGCAAGCTCTGTGGGACAAAGTAGTACTGGGAAGTGCTTTGTGCAAGCTTTGTAGTACAAAGTAGTACTGGGAATTGCTTCGTGCAAGCTTTGTAGTACAAAGTAGTACTGGGAAGTACTTTGTGCAAGCTTTTTAGTACACAGTAGTACTGGGAAGTGCTTTGTGCAAGCTTTGTAGTACACAGTAGTACTGGGAAGTGCTTTGTGCAAGCTTTGTAGTAAAATTTGTGCTGGGAAGTAGTTTCTGCAAGCTTTGTAGTACACAGTAGGACTGGGAAGTGCTTTGTGCAAGCTCTGTGGGACAAAGTAGTACTGGGAAGTGCTTTGTGCAAGCTTTGTAGTACAAAGTAGTACTGGGAATTGCTTCGTGCAAGCTTTGTAGTACAAAGTAGTACTGGGAAGTACTTTGTGCAAGCTTTGTAGTACACAGTAGTACTGGGAAGTGCTTTGTGCAAGCTTTGTAGTACAAAGTAGTACTGGGAAGTGCTTTGTGCAAGCTTTGTAGTACAAAGTAGTACTGGGAATTGCTTTGTGCAAGCTTTGTAGTAAAATTTGTGCTGGGAAGTAGTTTCTGCAAGCTTTTTAGTACAAAGTAGCACTGGAACGTGCTTTGTGCAAGCTTTGTAGTACAAAGTAGTCCTGGGAAGTGCTTTGTGCAAGCTTTGTAGTACAAAGTAGTGCTGGGAAGTGCTTTGTGCAAGCTTTGTAGTACAAAGTAGTACTGGGAACGACTTTGTGCAAGCTTTGTAGTACGAAGTAGTACTGGGAACTACTTCGTGCAAGCTTTGTAGTACAAAGTCGTACTGGGAAGTGCTTTGTGCAAGCTTTGTAGTACAAAGATGTACAAAGTAGTACTGGGAACGACTTTGTGCAAGCTTTGTAGTACAAAGTAATAGCCCACGAACCCGCATGCTCACACAAATGTTAATGTTACAGATGTCGAAACACATGGATTTGCAGTCACGCAGAACACTTATCTGCAATAGTTTATTTGAACAGTCTTGTACATATTTCCCCTGTTACCAGTCTGCAGTGTGGAGTGCAAAGTGTAGAGTGTGGAGTGTGGAGTGGAAAGTGCAGAGTGTGGAGTGTGGAGTGTAAAGTAAGGAGTGTGGAGTGTAAAGTGTGGAGTGGGGAGTGTAGAGTGTGTAAAGTGTAGTGTGGAGTGTGGAGTGTAAAGTGTAGAGTGTAAAGTGTGGAGTGTGGAGTGTAAAGTGTGGAGTGTGGAGTGTAGAGTGAGAAGTGTGGAGTGAGGAGTGTAAAGTGTGGAGTGAGGAGTGCACAGTGTAAAGTATAAAGTGTGGAGTGTGGAGTGTAGAGTGTAAAGTGTAGAGTGTGGAGTGTAAAGTGGGAAGTGTGGAGTGTAAAATGTAAAATGTAAAGTGTGGAGCGAGTGAGGAGTGTAAAGTGGAAAGCGTGGAGTGTCGAGTGTAAAGTGTGGAGGGAGGAGTGTGGAGTGTGTAAAGTGTTGTGGAGTGTGGGGTGTAAAGTGTAGAGTGTGGAGTGTAAAGTGTGGAGTGTAAAGTGTGGATTGTAAAGTGTGGAGTGAGGAGTGTAAAGTGTAAAGTGCGGAGTGTGGAGTGTAAAGTGTAGAGTGTAAAGTGTGGAGTGAGGAGTGTCAAGTGTAAAGTGTGGAGTGTAAAGTGTGGAGTGAAGAGTGAGGAGAGTAAAGTGGAAACCGTGGAGTGTAAAGTGTAAAGTGTGGGGTGTAGAGTGGAAAGTGTAGAATGTAAAGTGTAGAGTGTGGAGTGAATGGAGTGAGGAGTGTAAAGTGTAGAGTGTGGAGTGTAAAGTGTAAAGTGTGGAGTGTAGAGTGTAGAGTCTAGAGTGTAAACTCTAGAGTGTAAAGTGTGGAGTGTGGAGTGTGGAGTGTAAAGTGTGGAGGGAGGAGTGTGGAGTGTGTAAAGTGTAGAGTGTTGTGGAGTGTAGAGTGTAGAGTGCAAAGTGTAGAGTGTGGAGTGTGGAGTGTAAAGTGTCGAGTGTGGAGTGTGGAGTGTAAAGTGTGGAGTGAGGAGTGTAAAGTGTAAAGTGTGGAGTGTGGAGTGTAAAGTGTAGAGTGTGGAGTGTGGAGTGTAAAGTGTAGAGAGTGGAGTGGAAAGTGTGGAGTGTAGAGTGTAAAGTGTAGAGTGTAAAGTTTAGAGTGTGGAGTGTGGAGTGTGGAGTGTAAAGTGTCGAGTGTGGAGTGTAGAGTGTGAAGTGTGGAGTGTGGTGCGGAGTGTGGGGTGTACTGTGTAGAGTGTAGAGTGTGAAGTTTAGAGTGTGGAGTGTAAAGTGTCGAGTGTGGAGTGTGGAGTCTAAAGTGTGGAGTGAGGAGTGTAAAGTGTAAAGTGTAAAGTGCGGAGTTTGGAGTGTAAAGTGTAGAGTGTGGAGTGTGGAGTGAGGAGTGTAAAGTGTAAAGTGTGGAGTGTAGAGTGTAAAGTGTAGAGTGTAAAGTGTAGAGTGTGGAGTAAACGGAGTGGGGAGTGTAAAGTGTAGAGTTTGGAGTGTAAAATGTAAAGTGTGAAGTGTAGAGTGTAGAGTGTAAACTGTAGAGTGTAAAGTGTGGAGTGTGGAGTGTAAAGTGTGGAGGGAGGAGTGTGGAGTGTGTAAAGTGTAGAGTGTTGTGGAGCGTGGAGTGAGGAGTGTAAAGTGTAGAGTGTGGAGTGGAAAATGTAAAGTGTGGAGTGTAGAGTGTAAAGTGTGGAGTGTGGTAGTCCAAGAACGTGAATACATTCGGGTTCATGGTTTCCATTTTGTTTCTTGTTAGACCTTGGCAACCTGATCACATCAGACCCTTGAACTATATTTAAGATTATATAAGTAAGGACCGGTAATCCCATCCTAGACCTTGTCTACTGGGATCATGTTAGACTGTTAGACCTTTGCATTTTTATATCATGTTTGAACTTCACTTTCATTTGGCCTCTCATTTTTAGCTGTGGGCGACTGCAGTTTACATGATCTGAAATGGATTTCCCTGGCTCTTATCGCACCCTTTCCAATGAACACATTTACGCTGTATCAACTAGACCGAATATATAAGATATATAAGATATCAAAAAATATCTTAATGTTTTCAGAAACCTTATTCTTATTGACTTGAATGAATCTGTTGGACTCCCGAAAAGAAAAAAATATTTACCTGATGGAATGCAGTGGGCCTGAAATGGATTTCCTTCGTTTCTATTGCACCCTTTCCCATGAGAAACATCTACACAACATCAACATAACCCGTCACATTTGAAGGAAACACATTTCTGGAATAAGTTTTGCCTGACTGCTTGCACATGAAATCCCGTGTTGGATCCAGAGGTCGAATGGGGTCGAAGGACCCAGTGATTTTCTGAAGCAGAATATGTTCACAATCTGTGGAGAAAAAACAACAGGTTTGCAAGTTTTTGGGGTGCCTAGCTTTGCAGCAATGGAGATCCAGAGGTCGAATGAGGGCGAAGGAACTTGCAGAACAGTTTTTTTTCACAATCTGGGGGGGACCATACAGGTTGGAAACCCCAGAGGTCTAAAGTGTTCCAGGAGTTGAGGTCTAAAGTCTAAAGTGTTCCCTGCCGTTTAACATGATGATCTTTAGTGACAAGTAACATGAGGAAACGGGAACTTAAGGTAGGGTCTGACATCTTCCCGTTTTCTGTTGTTTAGACATAAGGTTCTTCATTCCAGACCCACTTAAAAATATAAGTTGAAAAACCTACAGTCCCTGGTTTGTAGCTGCCTGGATATGTTACCCCTATGTTACCCCTACAGATCAACAGGTCCTTACGGTCGTTGATTGAGCCAACCCCAGTTTGTTGATGAGAATACTGTTTATATTGGGGCTGTACCACTATACCACCCAATATTTTGTAGTATATATTTATATGTATTTGGATCATTATCATACTGAATGAACTCCCAATGAACTCCCAATGGGCTTATTGCTGATGACCGTTTTGACCCCAGGCATCACAGTCTTCGCACCCAATGCCATGCAAGTGCCCACGTGTGGCGCTCAGATGAGGTACCAATGAGACCACCAAATTTTCTCATTCTTGGGATAATATTGGCATATTTAACAATCTATATAATTTTAAATTCATCCAATTTGCGGGCGGCATTAAAACACATATTTTGATTTTTTGTTCATTTATGCATTTATTTATGTAGATTGTTGAGTTTGAGCCGTATGATGACACGTCTTCTGGTGTACCTTTCCGAGGGCTTCCGCCGCGAGCATCGCTTCCGCTTGCAGCAGTTCTCAAGAACTCCCGACTCCCATTGTAGCTGATCCTCGCCCTGATGGCTTTCAAAATCTTGGCCCTGACAGGTTTGGCCCCGGTAGCAGCCATTGTGCTCCACACCAATGCTGGATACAACTTCGGGTCCTCCAAGTGCCCTTGCGTGACTGGAGTTTGCGTTTAGTGTGTTTTTTCTTCGTGGTTTTTCTATGTGTTTCTTGGGATTGAACCTGGGGGATGGTTTCCGCTTAATTAAACAACTTCTAATGTGTGCATTGATTGTTGTTGTCATTGTTGGCTCAGGACTGCTGTCCTGATCCAATCAATATACCTTTTACTTTACGAGGGGACCTTCTTGGATGAGCGTCCCAGTTCTCACATTGGGATGCGAATATAACTCATACACCAGCAAAATGGATCAACATCGGACATGAATGGATATAAAATGATGAAAAAAATGTAACATATCTAAACCATTATTAAAAAAAAACACTTTGACAATCTTTTACATCACCGAAGTCCCTTTTTATCCCACCATGCTCCCATGGGCAGCCCATGGGCAGGTGGGTTTCTCCGGCTTGGAGGGCAGCACCACCGTCCAGCTGAATGCCACGGTCTCCACGGAGTACCCCGCCAACTTCGCCGCATACTGCGAGGCCTGGGATAATGGGCGCAACAACGTGAGCTGCCAGGCGAGCTCGGGGTGGTTTGGGGAGCCTGATGATGCCAGATTGCCATTTTACATAGGGGAAAATGCGGAACATGATGCTGAACCAATGGATTTAGGGGTACTTATAGCACTTTTGCTGGAAGACAAACGGGAACGACATCACTTGCCCCAGTCAGAATCATGGCAGAACCCAGAAAGTATTCCCTGAGTTGCCCAAGTGATTTCTGCAGGAGGCTATTTGTCAACCCACTTAACTCCGGGACGGCACAGGAGGGGCAGACGCCGGGCAAGGACCAAGGATGGTGTGCAGAAGCTTGGTGCTACGTGGACCCCTGCAACTGCGAACTGGATGAGCCCGCCACCAAGGTGCCTGAAGAGGGTGGATATATGCCACATGCCAGTTGCATGGTTTGCTGAGTTGATGATTTTTTATTTTCCCAATTGCAATGGGACATCCACTAATTGGGGAATCTATTAATATGGGGGAATATCTTTTGTTTTTTTGGTGGGTTCCGTAAGCAAAATCCAAGGCTATCAGGGGCGTGGCATGTGGTACTCCTACAAAACCTGTGGTGGCAAGGAGTGGGTCGCCAAATGCTGCATGTGGGAACCCAGGCATGGGGATGACTGCTTCATGTTCGAAGGATTTCCAAGCGGTACCTTTTTGGGTCCTATTGGACAATATGCTGAAAAGGGATGTGCATTGCGGTTTGGAGAATTGAATCCTGGAATATCAGTGATATGAGCATATAAAAAGATCATTAATTGAGGGTAAAAAATGATAAATGGTGAAGTAGATTGAAGATGATTGAAGTAGGGTTTCCGCAAAGTTTCCTTTCCAAACCAGTGTATGTCCATCCATCCAGAAAGATAGCAGGACTACTGGATGACACCGGAGAAGAAGAAGGAACTCCAAGCTGTGCCCAAGAACTGCAGCAAGAAGGTGGGTCAACAGATGGGCTATGAGTTTTGGTGGAATGGCAGGGATATCTATTGTTCTTAGGTATAGAATCCCCGTTCGAATTTCAACTACAGAATGGGAGGCCTTGTGCCCCGTTTCAAGGGCATTTCCGGGCTTAAATTAAGATGGAAAAATGGGATGGCCAGGCATTTTGTACCCACAGCTTGGGAATTGCATTTTATAAGTTGTCAACGTTTCGGTAGTTGAAAGACCTTGAAAAATCGAAAGTGACTTTGTAGCAAGAGAATTTGCCCATCGGAAGACAACATGTAAAAACCCAATCTCATTTTGTAGCAAGGGAAGTTGCCCTTCGGTATAGATATGAATGTATACACATATGTACATATACAGCATAATGTTTGTATATATGTATAAATATGTAAACACGTTTTGATTATGCACAGATGGCGAGAGAGAGAGAGAGATATATATATATGTGTAAATCGTATCTACATGCATATGTACATGAACGTGCAGGTAGAGGATGCATATGACTGCAGGTGTATCCTTTAGATGCTAATCGCATGTGATGGCGCCATGACAGTCGTCACCCCCAAGAGTTGATGCAAAATTTCGTGACCGTCACGGGGCCTACACCAACAGTCACCTCCCACTACTGGAGGGATCCCACCGGGTTGGGATGGTTCAAAAACGACCAGACCCATCCAACCATGAAGTGCTTGGAAAAGTAAGCAAGCAAGTAAGGAATAGTATGTTTTTGAGTTTGGGCAAACCAACCCTGCCATGCGCTTCTCCTACGATTCAATGTTAAGAGCAACCCAACGAAAAGCTTTCAACCGGATATGCTTTAGGCCACCCATTTCTGGCACAACGCCACATTGACACATTATCTATACATATCATTACATATCTATACCATATTGTTTAGGGGCGATAGGGCCAGCCCTTTGAGAAGTCCTGGAAAAAGATACCAGGCTCAGTTGGATCACTGTGCCGTTCCTTGCATTTAAATCACCATTGTATCATATTGTATCCATTATATAGTTATCATTGTTCCCATCCATATGATTCCCATGATTATCCCATTCATTCCCAATTATAGCATACTATACAATATGAATCTTCCCATAATGGGGTCCCACCCATCATTCCCATCATATCCATGCCATGATTCTCCCTATTTGCTTCGCAGGTGGACGAGAAGAAGTGGGGCTCCGAGAAGTGTCGCTGCATCGGCTACAACGGCGCCCCCGGCCAGACCAACGTCAGCATCAACGGCGCAGAGGTGCCGTACCCGGCAGAGGCCGGCGCCAGCTGCGAGGCTTGGGATGCCAAGAACCATCCGGACTGCCTGGGTGGCTGGGTGAAAATGCTGGGAAAAATCACCTTGTTTAAGAGCTATAAATGATCAACAAATATTTTTTTAGCTCCAGGTTTTGGTAGACTGGTAGACGTATCAATGATGAAAATAAAAGTTCAGTTTTCGTTTTTTTTTGGGGGAGGGGGGTGATTTATAATCGCAATGTTTAAATTGGCCTACATCCCCCCAATCTCTGTTGCTTGAGAAAGCGCAACTATCCTCAGAGAGGATCGAAAAATGATGGTGATTCTCTGGTAAAAGTACCGTTTTAATAAGTAAACAATCTACAAGTGGGCCATTGGATACTATTTTCCATAGCTTTTAATCCACCCGTAATTTAACAAAGCTATGGAAAATGGAATGGCCTGTTTAGTTTGATGATTTATCTGTTAAAATCATGATTTTCCACGGCTAGGTTCACAGTACTTAATTACCAGAGGTTAATTCGGAAGAAGCTGGCAATGGAACATCTACCATTTGAAACCAGTTATGATTTATAATATATATATATATGCATATGATTCTCCATGTTTTTGAATGATGACTCTCTTTGTTGGTAGCCAAACACCTTGTCATCTAGGTGGATGGTCGATGCAAGTTTTCACCTGGAAATGGAAAATCGACCATGTGCTGTGCATCCATGTGTAACAATTGATTTATGTTCTGTCCATTTCTCTGCGGAATTTTCCATTGATGTGGAAGGATATGATGTAGATTTGTAACGTGAACTACCTTTCTGTAGGATGATTATGAAGCATGGGACATGTTGCTTGCCATGTTGGATTTCCAGGTATATTTTGTCACCCACATACTCGTACGTATCCAGTGGGTACGGTATTGTTTACTCCAGGCCCCTAGGTTGGGCGAACTTAAGTTGAAACCATAGGCCACTCTTCACCTCTGTTGGTGGATGCCGGTGTGCAAGTGGTTGTTGAAGTGGATGGCAGACCTAACAAAGCCACCCACGATAAGCTGATTGGCAGTTCGAGGTCTAGTTGCTTCAATATGACCTACTGATACCTACTGTATGTTGCCTTTGGAACTGGCAGGGTTGTGCAGTATTTCTCTGAGAAACGTTTAGCACATCAGGGGGCATCAACGTTCAGCCTATTTCAGGACCATATTTTGGATGCCGACTGAAGTGTCACCCATGCTTATGAAGTTTTGGCAATTTCATATGGTCTGAACACCAGATGATGCGCTACTCTCACACTTCTTCAAACATTCTGTTTGTTTCAGCCCACATTGGTTCTAGGCTGTGTCTAATGCTTGCTGTTTGAATTGTTTTCCTCATACTTGTTCTTCTAATGATCCGAATCCTACTTTACTGATGTTTGTAGCTGAGTGGGTCCAGTTCGAAGTGTGAATGTGTCCATTAATATTCATGCCGACAGGTTCTTGGGACTTGGGCCAGAGGGTCAAAAGCTGGGATTGATGGATGTTCATCCCCGCAAAAAATGATAAAACATGCACCCTCTGGTAAACTAACATAACTATGGAAAATCACCATTTTTAATGGGAAAATCAACTATAAATGGCAATTTTCAATAGCTATGTTAAATTACCAGAGGGTATTTTTTTATATACTGTAACCCATCCCCATTCATGGCCGTGAAAAAGATGTCGGTGCGGTGCTGAGGTGACAAACCTGCAGCTTGGTGCAAGATGTCCTGGTGCTATGTGGATCCATGCGAATGCCAACTGGAAGTTCCTCCTAAGACTTCCTCCTATTTGCCCAAGGCTCGCGGCAATGGAAAACCCATCTACTTCTCCTATGCCGCCTGTGGGGCTGAGGATGAATATACCAAGGGCAACGAAGAGGCTTGTGTGAACCAAGATGTGGAAAGCAACTGCACCAAGTTACCCAGAAGCACATGAGGATTAACCACATTCCCTGAGTTTGGTGAAGTACCCCGACAAATAGAGGCAAAATTCCGACATATAATATACTAAATCACCTCTCTCTCTCTCTCTCTTATATATATATATGTGTGTGCGTTTTTTGGTTTTTGCCGGGGTCGGGTTTGAGAGTCAGCATTTCACTTGAATCCTCTCAACATCCTCTTGTACCTGTTCCACTAACCCCTGCTGGCCCCGGTTACCCTCTGCATACGTTCTTAATGGCATGCCATAGCCATCCATAGCCATCGCGGTCTCACCAGATCCTGCACCCTTCACTTGGTTTTGTCTGAAGTTTGCTTAAATCCATTGGCCCATCAACGTCCTCTCTACCAAAAAGGGCACTAGATTGATTGGGGACAACTCCTTCATTTTCAGACACACCTGAATATCACATTGTTGGTTCTATCCCCACAGAGGAAGCCCATTCTCTTCCAGTTTTGGGGTGGTAAAACCTTACGAAACGCCATTAAAGCCCATAAAGCACCTAGATTTTCCACCCCACATTCAACCCGGCCTTTAATTTAAAGGTTGGAGAAATGTGCCTGGACGGGGAAGCAGTGCCTGGGCAAGGAGCTGGTGGAGGTCTGCAGTTCAGCCAGCTCCCTGGGTCTCCTGGGTCTCCTGGGTGCAGTGGCACAGCTGATGGCCATGTGACTGGAACGATGACCCGATGGCGACGCAGAAAGAAAAGGAGCGCCATGGGAGTAAAGTGAAGGATGGTGGATCTCATTTTTGAAAAAGCGGGTGCCAGAAATGAAGAACCATGTGCAAACATGATGAAAATTGCTGAACATGCTTGAAAATTGGCTGGTTGAGAGGTTGCGATGATTGGTCCAATAGATTCAGATTAGTAAGGTGAGCTGGAACTGGCAAAGCCAAAACGCATTAGCATACAATCCTGCAGTAAAACCCTATGTCTGTTTTGGTCAAAACTATGGTTTCCTGTTGCTTTTCCCTCCCCAATCCATTGATTGGTTTTATAATGTTTTACCCTCTGGTAAACTAACAAAATGGCCCATTTATAGTTGATTTACCTATTAAAAATGGCGATGTTCAATAGCTATGTTAAATTACCAGAGGGTATATCCAATGATATCCCCATCATATCGCCATGATATCCCGTTATAGCTTCCATTTTGGTCGCTTACGTCCCCTCGCCTAGGCATACTCGCCCCGTGCGTCCCAGAGCGAGGCCCAGTTCGGCTCCACGGGTTGGGGGCCCAGTGCTGGCTGAAGCCATGGTTATCCATGGTCTACTGCGGATGAACGTATCATAACGTATCCGTATTTGGGACCAAGGAAGTTCACCATGTAGTTTGAGAAAAAAGACAACTAGTTCAGAACAAGTGACGCAAAATGAATACACTTTGAGGGTCCCTGAGTTTTTGCTGCGGACCTGATCTTTTTTGGGCACGTGGTGTGCCTGAGTTCTTTGGGCATTTTGGGCACAATCTGCTGATATTTGGTGTTAAAGTCCAGGAAGGCCAAGTGGAAGAATCGATGTCATAGAGGTAAAATCCGATGTCTTCATGGCCAGAGAAAGCCTGTCATGGGGCGTTCTAAGAACCTTTTCATTTTTGGGGCCCCAGAGTTTTGCTTTAACAAGTTATGGAATTATCGGATTATCTTGGATTATCGGCATACATCTAGATGGATGGCATGAAGAAACCAAACTTGATCAAACGTGTGTGTGTATATATAGTAAAGCTATGGCTGTGTGTATGGTGTGTATGTAGTAAAGCTATGGCTATACATTTCTATACTATGAATGCATATGGATGCCGCACCATCATATTGCTACATTGAACTTGGCGCCCCAAACCTGTTGATATTCGGACTGAAAAAGCCCAGGATTTTCAACGTGGAAGTCCCATGGAGCCAGGACTGACATCTTCGGGTTCAGGATCCTAAAATGGAGGTACCTACCATATATAAGGCCTAGTTTTCAGGCCTATGTAAGTGAATATCATCACGAAATATGGCCAAACATATGGTACTAACGTACCTCCATTTTAGGATCCTGAAATTCCCATTGAAGTCATGCTGGAACTGAAGCGGTTGGAACATGTTTCCACCCTTTTTGGAAGCTCTTGGACTCACAACTAGGGCAGAGAGTTTTTTCACCGTGACACACCTGGAAGCCGTCACGAATTGCCATTGCTTGGCCCGCTTAATCCGTGCGCCAGGTTGTGTCTCAGGTTTGGCGACATGTTCATGTTTAACATATGTTTAACTGTTTAACTGGTCTTTTGTTCTGGCATTTGGGGCGAATGTTTCTCTCTTCAGGACTCCTGTCCCGTTTCTCCCTGTTGAAACTACCGAAAAGATATAAAACGATGGAACGTGTTTCCAGAGTACGTTTGCATGTTTTCCAGGTATCCACATCGTTCCAGATCCAACTATTCTATCTTTTGGGGGCGTCTATATTAAGACACGTACAACCCGGTGTAAACTCACATAGATGCGGAAAAAACACCAGGGTTTTCCTAGGAAAATGATGATAACGATCTAGAAATAGTGGCTTCACATCTATGCTTATTGGATTATATTGGGCATTATTGGGCTATATTTTTCTTTGGCATCCCCCTGTAGCCATGGCAGGACAACTTCCCCAGCGGCCCAGCTCAGCCAGCTCAATCCAACGAAGATATTAGGCGGTGGCTTTTTGCCGTAGAGAAATTACCAAGGACGTGTTTTTGTGTTTCTTTTTTGTATTTTGTGGATGGTTTACCATTGGGTTTACCATTAAATGGGTTATGAAACTACCCTGTACCATTGGGTTTACCATGTTTCTTTTGGTGAATGGCCTAATCTTGGGACAGGGGTTGGTAACTGTCCCATTTTGGGAATATTGGACATCACCTTATAGATCTTATAGTAGCCATTATAGACCATATACCTAATGGTTGGGTGATGTTCAATGGGGACATTTAATGACCCATGTTTTGTGGTTCTTTTTTTTGGGACAGAACATGAAGAAACATGATGGGGGTGTATTGTTGTGGTTTCCACCGCGATAGCTGCAGCTTTTCACAACAAGTATGGTTCTAGCAAATGCATACCATGCAGCGAGGAAGCTCTTGTACGACCCTCCCACTTCGTAGCTGCTTAGTAAAACAGGGTAGTTTCATAACCCATTTAATGGTAAGCCCAATGGTAAACCATCCACAATTGAGGTTCATTCTTTGCATATCTGTGTATTCAATATTTTCTTACTTACTACGCCATAATAAACCCAATTGTTCGAGTAATTATGGTTTATGCACGTTTACACTTCGCAATTTATAACATTGGGTGATGGTATGTGATGGTTTATTGCATTGGGTTTGCGACAGCATATCTTGGTGTATGAGTTGCATGGCAGCGCATGGTATTTGAATGGAGTCCTCCAGTGTTGCCGCTTGGTCTTCAGAGGCATCCTGAAAAACATTGCGCTGGGGGCGCGCGAGGCAGCGATACGTTTCACAATGATGTGACGGCCAGAGCCTGCCAAAGGTGACTTCCGTAAACCTTGATGAATGGTTTACTATCAAATAAGAAAAATACCAACAATATGACGACGAGAAAAAACGAGGCATATTAAATGATAGATACTGATAGTTCGATAGCTCTTCTAAGGCGATGGAGAGATACAGTCACCAATCATGATGTTGATTATAGTTGACTATTGTTGATGGGCTGCAAGCACCAGCCTATATGTGTTTTTTTATTATTATTATAATTATTATTGTTATACATATATATCCCGATATATTCTTTATTAGTTAGCTTAGCTTAGCTGACAATTTGGGAACCATATACCATCAACATGTTTTGACATTTTTTACAGGGCGACAACGGGAATCCAAGATTGGCGATGGAAACTCCACAACACCACGGACCCACAGTATAATCATGTTCTTTCCAACCCCGTGTTCATGGTAGAAGAATTCGTAAAACCATGCACCATGCACTAGAATCAGCACAGAGAGATGGGGAGTTTCAAAAGCACCATAAGAATTTACAAAGGCACATTACATAAGAATCTACAAAGGCACATTACATAAGAATCTACAAAGGCACATTACATATTATTACCTTCTGGTAATTTATGGACTTTTATGGTAACTTAACACAATTTCTAATAGGAAATTCTTCGAACTGAATGGGCCATCAATACCATAGCAAACTGATAGATTACACAGGAGGGGGGAAAGCAACTAACCGCGGTTGCAGGTAGTGCCCCCCAAGCTTGTGGGCCACCATTTTTTCTTTGCAGTTCATGCTATTTTCGGATGCCACCTCTGGCAACTTGGCAACATCAACTCGTCCGAAAAACTGGACGGTCCATGTTCCCGAACTTCGGAGAACAAAAAAAGCTGTAATTATGGGTTGCAACCCGGAAAACGCTAGTTGGAGTAGATCCAAGTCATGGTAACTTTCTGTAAATATTGTAAATGTCCACTTGCGAACTGGGATGACTTAAAAAAAAAAAATTGGGGCGTTGGCCCCTCCTGAGTTCGTCATGCGCAGAACCTTCCTGTGGAGGGATGTCAAGGGGGTATCTAGGAGATGTTTCAGGGGCTTTTCCAAGACCCATGCACTTATCCAGTTGATCTGGGTCAGCCAGAGGATGTTGGCCCGCCATTTTCCCAGCCGTGTTTTTGGGCAGGTCACCACGCCGTAGAAGGATGGTTTTAGCGGTTAGTCACTTTACACAATATCAAGGGGGCACCACTGGATGGTTTGGCTATGTCATATGTGTGCACATACACCACAAGATTCTTTCATATATCCATATATAATCTAATAATCTATATAATATCTATGCATATCATCTAGACAAAGAGGGGCAGAGAGGGAGAGAGAAGAGGGAGGGGCCCCACAGGCTCGACACAGCCACAATCTGATCAAATCCGACAAATTTCTTGCGACACTTTGGCCAGCCGCTGCCAGCCTGAGACAGGCAGATGGACAGAGACAGAACACATAGACAGATATATAATGATATATATATATATTATTATATTATATATATATATGTATATATCTCTAGATGTAAGTGCCTATTTATATTTTTATCTTTATATATATATTTATTACATATTCTATATACATTTTATACAGCTAGTTGTCATTGCCAGGGGCAGATTTTGGTTTTGGCTGCATGGGAAGCCATGGCCGGCAGCCTCGCCTCAGTTGCAAGGCGGGCGCAGCCGGCGCAGCCGTTCTTCGGCAGATCATGCAGGACATTTTAAGGCACCCACGTTGATGATGGTTGATACTTCATGATGGTTAGTAGTGGTTAATAGTGGTTAAACCATAGGAAAACCATAGGAAAATGGTGGTTAGTAGTGGTTAATGATGGTGACTGATGGTTAATGGTGGTGAATGATTCAATGGGAATTTATACATGTTGTTAATGGATATATATTATTATATATATAAATGTGGATATATAGTATTGGGATATAGGGTCAATGGGAATTTCAGGATCCTAAAATGGAGGTACTGTACCATATGTTTGGCCATATTTTGCTGGGGATATTCCCTTACATAGGCCTTATATAGGCCTTATATATGGTAGGTACCTCCAATTTAGGTTCCTGAAATGGCCATTGAATGATGATGGTTAATGGTTAATGGTGGTTAATGATGGTTAATGATGGTGAATGATGGTGAATGATGGTTAAATGGTGGTTGATGATCCTTGATAATCTCCAGGGCACCAATGCGATGCATTTCATGCATTTGATGCATCGAACCCTGGTATTCCAGTCTGTTTTCACCACCCGTGTGGTGCAAGGTGCGGGCAGTCAATTGGTGGGGCTCACCGCAGCAACAAGGCTGGGTGCTGGTGGTTGGAGATGGGGCGATGAAATGAATTGCTTGCATTCCTATATCACATATTTTCATATACAGATCTACAGTATCTTCATATAATCTCTTCTTCCAAATGGTAGATAATCACTTCTCAAACAAGACCCTGATTTCGCATTGGATCTATTTGTTTTGGTGCTATGTTTTGCTGGTATTGAATATGATGGGGGGGTAGGATGAACCTTTTTATAGGGGGATGAATTCTCCAATTTTCAGGCAGTGAGATGTTTTTCAGCTCCTTCTTGTTTCAAAGACATGAGTGTGTTGGTTTGCCCTCTACATGGGTGCTGGTCAAATAAATAGTGGTTAAGCCGGGCTGAAAGGTGACGTCCATGTTCCTGGTGCCCTTGGCTCAAAAGGTCGCCCAATAAAAAACAGAACAGAAACTGCCCACCCCGCAGTCCATCCACTTCCAAACATGGCCCGTGGAGTGTTCGGCTTGGCATTGGTCGCCTTTGGACTTCTGTCCTTGAACCGCTATTGGTCCGCGGTGGATTTCGTTGGGCAGGCAGGGTCGCTGAAGCCGTTGTGGAGGACACCCATATTTTCTCAATGTCAACATATGCTTACAGTCATGTGCACATTTGATGTGTATTATATAGGTGGGAAAGATAATACATGCATCATAGGTACATATACAATCATATATATATATACATACATACATATATATAGTAACTAGTATACTAATGTATACTATAATTTATATAGTACATACATTTACATATGCAATTCTATAGTATTGAATGATATTTTTTCTGCATCTGACCATGTCGCCGAGCTGTCGCTTCGCCAGGTGACTCCGAGGCCTCGAGCCGAGAAGGTGGTGCGATGTGCCGGAGACAAGGCCCTGAAGGACCGATGGAATTCGGTCGGAAAGACGGGAAGCTCGGCGTGGAAAAGCGACGGTTGGCGTCAACATGGCATGAACATGGCATCGATGTTCGTTTTTTAATAACTTTGGTGGTGAGTTTTTGGTGGTTTAGTTATGGTGATTATTGTGAACATGTAATGAACATGTAAAGCTTCTGAAAGATGCGATAGACACCACGTTTTTTCGAGGTTTAACAGGCATCTTACTGGCCAAACTCACCTCGATACGATCCGTGGGATATCGATATGTGCTTCCCACTGGACATGAAGCCCCTCAAGAATGGTACTCCCACAGGAACACAACCAGTCCTAAAGCAGGGTTTCACTTTGGGCTGGTGGTTCATCGCTATAGTATATTCGGTTAGATTGATCTTAGACTTATATGATTAGGTTATTTTTTGGTTGTATAGTGGATAATGATACGCATGATATGTGACGTATGGCTCAAAATCATGAACATGGACAGTTCAATACTAGTCTGTCCGTGGTTGGACTTTGCTTTTGATAAGCAAAGATCCAATGTTTGGGTGATTTAATTCCTATCATTATATGAGCATGTGTGGGCTGTCAGGGTCTTGTTAATGATTGTTAATGAGTCTGAATATGTTCCCTTTCCAGAGCTGAAAGCTGGCAGATGAATGCAGCATCATTACGCATGAACATTGTGTTGTCCGGCAGTTGTTTAGTTTTTCCCCATCGCAAAATTGGGACAATGATGGAACATGTGAACATGCACAAAAAACTTTAAAAAGACACCTCTGAAAACACCCAATCAGCATCAATAGACATACCAACAATAGTAACAGCAACTAGTAAGATCTAATAATAAGTTATTAGCTTTCAAAACAATCATAATCACAAGAATAACATAACAATATAACCCCCCTTGACACCCCAAGCGGTCGCCAAGCTGTCGCTGAGGAAAGCTGACCGATGCCATGCGGCTGGTGGCCGCTGCCAAGGTGCGCTCCGCCCAGACGGGAGTGGAGAAGGCGCGACCCTTCAGTGACTGGGCGCAGAGATGAAGGGAGCCCCTGGGTCAATATGGGTCAGGCCGTGGCTTAATATGGCTTTATAGATTTTATAGTGGATAATAGTGGAGTAACAATTCTTCTTTTTTAAGGTATGGTTAAGTGATGTGTTTTTTTTATTGGTGGGATGGTTTATGACCCAAATTTATAGCTGGGATTAGGGGGGAACCCCTCGATGAACTCCCAAGGGTCAACCCTCGGCATGGTTCATTGCTACTGCATGGGGGCTGCGTGTAGTCTTAGGGGTCACGCCCCCGGTTTGATAGGCAAACATGGAGGGGTCCAACAGGGATAACCCTCTGGTAGTTTGACTAAGCTATTGAAAAACTATGACACATTGCCTGTTATAGTTGCTTTACCTATTAGAAATGGTTATTTCCCACAGCTATGTTAATTTGCCAGAGGTTACCACATTTTGGTCGGTTTTCATGGTGAGAAAACCTTCAAGAATTGGCTGCATTCGGCACTAAGGTGATGAACTGCTGTCCATGATCAAGGGATTCTTGGTGATGGGAGCTGATTGAGATGATGAAAATCTGCTGGGAAATCGATAGAAATGGCGGTTTGACGTGTGATTTTGGGGGGCTCAAGTCTTGCAATCTTTATTGTGATTTTCCACATGGAGATAGGCATTTTGGGTGTCTTTTTTCTGGACAAAGCCCAATAATGATGGGTCGGGCTGCAGCCTGCGATTCTGGCAACACATTTGATGACTGAAATGTGGCTGTGAGCACAGTGAGTATGACCCAGTGCCGACAGTGCAGCTTGCGAAACTAAGTTCCTTGTTTTCAAAAGCTTGGGACCAGGAGGTCTCCATCGCACCATGGGCATCCCGAAGGTTCAAAGATTTGAGCCTCACTGGGCGCAACACAAATTCTCATAGGACCTTGCAAATCAACAATTTCATAGAATTTCCATCAATTTCCCATATATGATGTCTGATCCTTTCAAATGTTGATTCTTTCAGCCCTAAACTTATGTCCCTGCATCACCAATCCTGCATCACCTGCTGCAGGATTGGTGAAGAAATTGAAGGGCACCGGTTTGGAAGCTGATCTGCCTATGTTGCGGGTCCCCGAGAAGGTCACCAACATCGGTATCCTGATGATCACCGGTCAGCGTGGTTTGTGCGGCCCCTACAACGCCTTCGTGATCAAAAAGGTGCAGGCGCACCGGGTCAGGGGATGAAGGGTGACCCTCAGCCGCATAGGGGGGCAACGAAATGCAAAGAATAGTTCAATGCTTGGTTGAAGGAAAGATCTACAGCTTACGGGAAGCACTATGTTAATTCTGGAAGATGGGCCTGAAGATGGGTGTTTTTTTTCAGTATTAGCCAGGTTCTCAATCCCCGACATCAGACTACTTCATGGTCGATCTCTTTTCAGAGAGGAAATTAAGGGGTGTGCTAATTTCCGGGTGCACTGTATCAGCTTCCCAACAGCTTGTTCTGGTACTGCATGGTACTGCAGATGGTTGATGGTTTCAATATTCAATGGCCATTTCAGGAACCTAAATTGGAGGTACCTACTATATATAAGGCCTATGGAAGGCCTATGTAAGGGGATATACCCCCAAAATATGGCCTTATATGGTACAGTACCTCCATTTTAGGATCCTGAAATTCCCATTGAAATATGTTTTATATAATCTATATTTTAATATGGTGTAATGATGTTTAAGGTGCTTAATATTGCTTAATAAAAATGCCTTTCCTACCTGAACAACGAGATGCTCATCCGAGTTGGCTCAGAATTCTTTGGCTCGAAAAAATGGCTTGGTCTAGACCAGAAAACCGCATCCTTGAGTCGGTCGGATGCCGTGAAAAATGAGACGGTTTCCAAGGCTCTCCAGTCATTTTTCATTATATATATATATATCAGTATATATACCCTCTGGCTATTTAACATCGCCATGGAAAGATCCACCATGTTTAAAAACGGTAAACCATCTATAAATGAACCATTTTCCATGGCTATGTTAAATAACCAGAGGGTATATATACTGATATATATATATATTATATATATATATAATTCAATCCAAAAACATCCACAAACAACAGGCCTTGGCCCTTCGACCTCCAGCGATCCTCGACCCTTAGCTATAGCTTGACAAAAACCTGACATATTCTGAATCTTCTCCTATCCCCGAATTCCATGAATTCCATTTTTGAAGTACTTCATTCATAACCCCCATCCCATCCCATCCCATCCCTTGACCGGTTTGGGGTCATCGAGTCATCTCGAGTCGCCAGGCGCGTATTCTGGACCTCAACGCCCAAGGCCTTACCCCGAAGCTCTTCGTGGTGGGGCGCAAGGGCATCCAGGCGCTGACCACTCGGCTGCAGGCGGACAAGTACACCTACAACTACACCGAGGTGGAACGGGTGGACCTGCGGCAATGGCTGCGATTCGTAAAACATGTGGTAAAATGTGGTAAATCAGATGTAAAGCATGGAACATCCTAAGGTAAAACCCTATTTAAAATTACTCTACTTCGTGTGATCCCCACCATGACATGTCAGGACGTATATTTGGACATATATTTAGTATATTCTGACATCCTATCTGACATATATTCTGGCATATATTCTGGCATTCTATCTGGCATATATCCTGACATTCCACCTGGCATTCTATCTGGCAGTCTATCTGGCATTCTATCTGACATATTTTCTGACATTTCATCTGACATATATTCTGGCATTCTACCTGTCATTTATTCTGACATATATTCTGGCATTCTATCTGACATATATTCTGGCATATATTCTGGCATTCTATCTGGCATTATATCTGACATATATTTTGGCATTCTATCTGACATATATTCTGGCATATATGTTGGCATTCTATCTGGCATTATATCTGACATTCTATCTGACATTCTATCTGGCAGTCTATCTGGCATTCTTTCTGGCATTCTTTCTGGCATTCTATCTGGCATTCTATCTGGCATCCTATCTGACATTCTATCTGGCATTCTATCTGGCATTCTTTCTGGCATTCTTTCTGGCATTCTATCTGGCATTCTATCTGGCATCCTATCTGACATTCTATCTGGCATTCTATCTGCCAGTCTATCTGACATTCCTACATGAGGTCCGGCAGGGAACACTTGGCGTGGATACTCGCAGTTGAGGTCCGGCAGGGAACACTGGGCGTGGATGGTCGTGGTTGAGGTCCGGCAGGGAACACTGGGCGTGGATGGTCGTGGTTGAGGTCCGGCAGGGAACACTGGGCGTGGATGGTCGTGGTTGAGGTCCGGCAGGGAACACTGGGCGTGGATGGTCGTGGTTGAGGTCCGGCAGGGAACACTGTGGATCGCGGGTCGCAGTTGGACGAGGACGACGAGGACGACGACGAGGACGACGAGGACGACAAGGACGACAAGGATGACAAGGAGGACGAGGAGGACGAGGAGGAGAGGAGGAGGAGGAGGACGAGGCAGGAGGAGGCAACTGACATAAAATCTAACAACCCTCACCTGGCAGGTGGGGAAAAAAACTATATTGTATATAATTGATTTAGTTAAACCCTGAAATTGTATGAACTTGTTGATTTCGGATTTTGATATCCCAAAGTTCCAAATTGTCGGTACGTGGGGCTCCTTAGGGAAGTTGAAGCACGAAACAGTTTGGGTATGTTTGAGGTATCAGAAAAAGGATGATATGGAGGTCCTACCTTTATTCTATTGACCTGGTGGATGTTTTGGCTTGAGTTGGTCCCTGAGGGTTAGGGCCAGCTTCGGGATGATTGTGGTAAACCATGGTAAACCTAATGAAACCATCCCCAATCCAGGTTTCATTGCATTGGGTGGGGTATACCCAGTACCCTCTTGTAAACTAACGTAACTATTGGAAATCACCATTTTTAATGGGAAAACTCACTATAAATGACAATTTTCAATAGCTATGTTAAATTACCAGAGGGTATACCCCTAGTTTTTTTGGGGGGGAGAATGTGCAGTATCTAAAATGACCCCCTTTTGGTGGTGTCATGGGATGGCCTGGCAGGAGTTCTGGCCCATGCCGGACACCATCAAGGCCAAGGACTCTACGGCCATTGCTGAGACGTTGGAGAACTACTTCCTGTCAGGTTGGATGGGTCAAGTCACCGGCAGCTTTTAGATTCCAAAAACAAATCTGTTGATAACTTGTTTGGGGGATATACTACTAAAATGTATATAAATATATAATGATATTATACATATTCAATCATATTCACATATGCATATTGGGGATGATGATTGTGATATGATTAGCAGTCGAAGTTTGAAGCGAGAAGATTGGCGACGCCGTCCAGGTGAGGTGGACAAGATCGAGATCGCCTACTCCAGGCGCGAAGAAGTGCGAGATGGGTATGGGTAGCCAAAGATTCTGATTGGCATCAATGAAAAGAGGGGGGTAATAAGAGTGTTGATATATGTTGCCACATGTTGCCACAGCTTTTTGTAGAATTTTAGTGAGAAACTCAGCGACTTTTCCAGAAATTGGCCGAAAAAAAGGCGCAGATCCACTGAGGTTCATCAATCTGATCAACAACGAGCCAACCATTCGCACCTTGCTCCCCCTGTCCCCTACCGGCATGGAGGATCCAGAGGACAGCGATTCGAATGAAAGATATTAAACATTAATATGTAGTGCCCACCCACCAATCAAGCCCCTACTAATACTACGTGATATTAAAATATACTAAATACATCTAAATACCCCCTTCAAAACCCTGGTTTGGTGTTGGATCTTTTCTTTTGGGATCCCTTGCAGGTATTTCTGTGAATGTGATCGGGGGACTGGATTATCAATTGTCCCATGATTAGCCGCCGCTAGTATTATCTCAGGCCCTTCAGATGCGACGAGTGTCGATGGCCCAGATCGCATATGATTGTCTTTGTTTCTCCAACATGTATCTCAAAATCACCCAGTCAAGTACTTGTAGATGAAGATAATTACAGTAAACATACCACATACCTTTATGTAATATACATGACTTATATACCTTACATTACATTGCCTTCCAGCCATTGCATAACAGCATAACAGCATAACATACCATATCATATTATAACATCATATCATGTTATCTCATGTCATATCATACATTATAATATACATTATATCATATATCATATGTCATATCATATCTAGATGAAACTTCATGGAACTCACGAGATTTAACCATGCCACTGTCATGGAACTTTGCAGTGTTTTGCAGCGTCGCAGGATGAGACCTTCAAGCTGACCACAGAGGGCGGCAAGTTGAAGGTGGAGAAGGAGAAGGTGAAGGCGGCGAAAGCCAAGGAGATCGAGGCGGATGTGATCTTTGATCAGCCACCACAGGTGCTCCTGAATTCCATGCTGCTGGGATTGTGGGTTTAATGGAAGGGAAACATATTTTGGGGGGGAAGTTGATGCCGATTTTTAACGGATATGTTGGGAGGCGGAAATCACACTTGATAGATGCTGGGATGATGTGTGTTCTTGATTTTTCTTGAGGTGTTTTGATTTCGAAATTGGATTGAAGGAGAACACGTGGTGGTTGATAGGGCAAGTCATCATGCCAACATGTTGCTGGGATATTCTGTCATGAAAGTCTTATGCGCTATACAAACATATATAGGTGTTTTTTCACCATGAAAAGTACCGGTAGGAATTTTTGTGCTGGGATAGTGAAGATTGTTTTTCTCGTTTGTGGGTAGGGGCCATGATTTCCGCGGTGTGTTTTAACCACAAGTCATGATAAAGAAGAGAAACCATGCCTGAAGTGGTTAACATTGCAGGTTTATGAAACGAGAGTATGGGCTGGCTATGATTTTTGGATATTTTTGGCATGATGAATGGGGTGTCAACATGTGAAAACGAGGGCGTCAAGGTTCTGATGCATATCCATCTTCAATGTTGTATGTTTGTGTGTGTGTGTGTCGCGGGGGTTGGCCATTTAGTAACCTAGAGATGTCATGGTGCTGAGATGTAAAACCCAAAACAGCATCGTTTTCCAGACCTTTATTTGTAGTTCCACCTTTGTCTTCGGGGTCTCATGCCTCTCGGATCATTCCAAATGGGCGATTTCCCCATTTGGACCGACCACATGTCCCATCGATGATATAGCCATAGTTACCTTCATTCTGAGTGAACAATCCCAAAAAATGATCAGTCACTAAGTCTCTTGTTAGGATAACTATCCATATGACATCTCCATTTGGGGAAAACATATATAAGTTTGCAATTTCTTGTTGCTTTACATGGATATGTGATGTAGGTCAATTTCTAGGGCACCTTAAACTTGTATAGTTTTCTACTAAACACAACCACTCGGTGTGGTTTGCACGGCTTTTATTGTTGATCCAGATCATATCCCTTTTTCTTGGTTAATATCAACATTCTTTGTAGATAACATCTTGGTGTTTCCAGTGTCAATCCTCAATTTCGGTGACTGAAATTCATCTAACTCCTCACCTGTTCCAATATCTTCGATCATTTTTCCTCAGTCTTTCCGACTTTCCCTCACTTTTCCCAGGTTCACCACCATTCTATCATTCTTCTCTAATTGTTTCCATGTTTTTCCCATATTTTTCCATATTTTTCAGCCATCCCCAGCCCTTCCCTTTAAGGCCCCCTTTAAGGGGCCCCCAGCGTCACCGAGGCTGCCGTTGTACCTGAACTCCCAGCTGCTGTCGCTGCTCTTCGACGCCCAGGCCTCTGAGCTCTCCTCGCGGATGTCCGCGATGAAGGCGGCCACGGACAACGCCAAGGAGCTGCAGAAGAAGCTGCTGCTGTTGTACAACAAGCACCTTGGATGTGACCATTTGTCAAAAATAGTTGTTTAGACGTTTAGTATTGGTTGTTGATAATTCATCTGGGTCTACTGTTTTTTCCTCTTCGTTATGTGTTGAATGTGAATGGGATGATTATGTTGGTTTCTATAGTGCAAAAATATATAGGAGTATAAGGAAATCAATGATATATATGACATTATTACCAAAGACAACTGGAGTATGGAGAGAGATATGTGTAATTATACTATATACAGTATAGTAGTATGTATATGTATATATATATATATCCTTGATGATTATGACATTTTGTATGTGTGTGTGTGTATGTGTGTGTGGTCACTGGAATGTAAATCATTTTCCTGGGGGATTCGATATTTCTGTGCAGGATAATGGTGAAGGAAACAGCTATGGGTCCGGTCCAGCCATTGGAGCACCATCCATGGCCCAGCAAAGTTGTCACAAATTGCAACCAGGTAAATAAGAAACAGATAAATCCTCTTCAGACAATAGTAGCAAATGTGTTTTTTCCTGTCGAAAGTGAGTATAATGGGTGATCCATTTTAGTGTGTTGATCTTTTTGACCCATAGCCAGGTAAACGTCCAGTCTAGGACATCAAACACTAAATGAAGGTATGCATCCATGAAAAAATCAGAGAGAGAGAGAGAGAGAGAAAGAGAGATCAACAAATATCAACAAAAAATATACTAGATTAATTCTATGCTAATAGGCAAAGCAGATGATGAAAAAGGGATAGGGTAAAGATGGGTAAACGCAATTGCTTGTTGATTTCACTATTGTTCCGATGCAACTTTGACGTTATACGAGGAAGCCAGGCCGCGAAACTGGTCTTGGGATCTCTCACCTTGAACCAGGGGGGTGCCCTCCCAAGTTTCAAGTCAGACTCATATCCACCCATAGGATCCATGTATACCCTTCAAAGGAGGAGTCAACAATTTGTTGTGTACAACTGCATGGTCACCAGAAACAGCGTAGATGTGCTTTTCTTCACACATCATCTCCAATGGGTTATCCATCGTCCTTAGGTTGGATTTCCAGCAACTGAAAGGTTTGAAATCTCTGCTGGTGAAATCTCAACTATGAATGATTTGCTGGTGAAATTTACATAGTTCCAATGTTTCTCGGTGAAGTCGCCGGTGAAATTCTGGTGAAATCTCAGTGTATACAACTTTTCCTAATTTTTGAGCACATGTTTTCCAAATTGTTGCTCCATGGTTTCCAATTTTTACTGCTTGCATTCCCGAAAATACCTGCAAAACTCCTTGGCGAACTCCCAAATCCAATGTTTTTCGGTGCAAAACCTAGCTATAGGTCATTTCCCCAACATTTTCCGGGTTCCAAATCCTCAGCTGGGCCCAGGAAGCGTCAGGCCGCCATCACGGCCGAGATCTGTGAGATCTCGGCCGCTGCCAACGCCATCGAGGCCGCGGATAAGAAGGGCGCAGCCGGACCGGGGCTGGGCGTCATGGACAACGAGAATTCGGTGGCCGAGGATTTCATGAAGGAGTTGGACTCAGGAGACGTTCCAGACACTTGGAATGCGATTCTGCTTGGAAATGGAAGGAAATTGGATGAACATCATGAAATTAGAAGATCTCTTTTTTTTGGGGCAATTTAGGCTTTGGAGTTGTTCCAGACACTTGGAATGATGGATGTAGCTATTTTTTGGAGAATCTTGGACAATTTGGACACACACACACATATATCTATATATATATATACATATTATATTTAGGTATATATATAAATGTGTGCGTATTAATGTATATATATATATATATACATGTGTGTGTGCGTGTTTAAGTGTGGATATATATATATATATATATGTGTGTGTGCAGTGCTTGGTCTAAATTATATAATAGGTCTTAAGTCTTAGATGTTCCAGACACTTAGAATGCTGGATGATTGTTTTATGTTCTATCATTCTGGAGACTGAGATGTTCCGGACTCTTGGAAGGAGTTCAACAATTGAGGATTGGTGGGTGATAAAGTGCCGATGGTTGATCTGAGATATCCCAGAAACTCTTAGAGTTGATGCTTAATGAATAGGATGTTGGCTGAGTCCATTGGTGCTGGTGGCGTGGAGTATGATCCGTTGGATGGCGGTTTGGCATGTGTTCCGATTGTGGGTTCCTAGTTATAGTGATCCACTTGGAATTCATTTGGCCCAATTGTGCACCTTCAATTGGGTACGGTTCGGAGCCACCAAATTGTGGAATTGGCTGTGGTTGATGTGGATGGCTTGTGGTAAACCAGCGTTTGGTTTTGGTTTGTCAAATTTGATTGGCTTGGAATGGGTGTTTATATAAAATGTATTCAGAGTGGTCAGAGTTTCCTGAGCCAACTGGTGGTTGCATCGCTACATCCCATGGGATGATGACCAACGAAACGTCTATTTTTTAAGGATACGCATTCTATGTTATTATATATATTAATTATTATGAATTATTATGATTATTACATGTTATTATCTATAGATGAGTATGAATTTCACCAATCACCATGCTATTGAGTGTTATTACATGTTATGGTTTTCAGTTTTGAAAAAAACGTCCGCCAGTTCACTGGGGATTGAAGCTATCCAGGGATGCTCGCACATCCAAGGAGACCCCAGTGTCCTACGACCAGTTTGGTCCTGCCACACGACAGGAACTTCCTTCCGCCTAAGGATGGTCACGTTTTGAACGTGAAATGGCCAAGGATGGCTCAAGAATTTGAGACAGATAAAATGGGTGGCTTAAAAGTCGTATCACTTAGATTGGCTTCAGAAGACACGAAGGCTGAGAGGCCGGGATTTTTGTATCGCAATTTCTCCGGGATCGGGTCCTCCCATAGCAAGCATCGCAGTATCCAACCTGCGGCGGCGAAAAAGATGTGCGATGTGCCAGTTCCAAGTATTTCCCATGGAGAGAATGTAGCAGGGAGGCGATCCACTCCAGCTGAGCACGTTCAATTGCATGCCACGAGAAGGAGAAAAGAAACCATATCAAAAACAGCGACTCGGGATCCCCAAAACAAAAGACTTGAGGCATCCTGAGGCCCGATTTCCACTATTGGCTCAAGTTGCCATGGCAAGATGCTGTGGCCATGGGCATTACTGCTCCTTTGCGTCCGTTCTGATGCTCAAGGCATCCAGAACCCGCTGCGACAGTTGCATTTGGACCAGGACCAAGCGATTCTGGAGCTGCAGGGATCTGAACATAAGATGGACGACGTTGATCCATTCTTTTTGGTGGGGCCAATGGGACCCAAAAATACAAAAAAACATGTGTTTTACGACTGGTGATGTTTCCATGATCTTCCACTATTTTGAACGGAGAGATGACGCAATGGACTGGTTTTCGTTTGGTGGTCGAGAAAATCCACTGCAATGCGTGTTCGATCCTTGAATGGCCTGAAGGGATCCCCTGAGGGTTGTTGCCACATTAAAGCTCCAGGGGGGTCCTTACCGGAAACTGCATGAGTTGGAAGTGCCTGAAGATTCACCCATTGTCTTGTTTTCATTCCTGATGCATTGTTCATTATTTGTTGGTCACTAGAAGCAGCTGCTACCAGAACGACCTGCAACAGCACCACCATCGATCATCGATCCTCATCCATCCTCATTAATCATCATCATCATCATCATCAACAACAACAACGACAACACAATCCTCCCCCTCCTCCTCCTCCTCCTCGCTCTTCCCCCTCCCCCTCCTCCTCCTCCTCCTCACCGCCCCACATATTCTATAATGCCTCCCAACTTCTTGGCTGAGGATAAAACAACTTCTGGCTGAGGATGCTGCTCTGGAGGGGACCAAGGACTGGTGGCGGTGGGGACTGGCCTTACGTGCCTGGAATGTTCAGGTTTTGATATGGTTTGACATGGAAAACATGGCGGATTTGTACCAATGTTTGGGCCCTGTTTCAACAGGGGGAAGCATGTGACGCAGTTATTAGGTTATATTTTTTTATGATATTATATATTTACATATATATATATTATTTAATTTTATACTATTTGCTCCTTAAAATATGCAATGTGCTCTACTCTGTTTCCTTGACTGCTCACATACATGCACCAGGAACAGCGGCAGAGGGCGGAAGAGGAGATGCAGCAGATGCGTCAGCAGGAGACGGAGGAGAGACTGCGTGCGGAGCAGCGACGCGCCAAACTGGAAGAAGAAATGGAACTGGAAGAGATGCTGGGAAGCAAAAACTTGGTCAACCTTGGATGGGTGGGTTGGTACTTTATTATACGTTAATTCTTTTGGCTATTAACGGGGATGCACACTAATCCGGATAATCGGGGCATATCGGGGCGTGTTTTTCCTTTGCGCCATGCTGGTTAACATCTTTTGAAGCTGGCTTTCTAGTGTCTGAACATGTCGCAACATGTTCATACTTTCCGAGCACAGCGCACAGCTGTTTGAAGTCCTCCTGGGTGCTTCAGCCCTCCAAGGGAAAGGGAAGAGTTTACAGATGTCGACTTCGCGGAGAGTTTGATGTTGCTGGGTGGCATCTCTTTTGTGATGACCCTGTTCTACCTGGTGAACGATGAGGATCCAGACATGAGATTCTACAGTTGGCGGGTCATCAGCGCCACTCTGTCGATTTTTTCTGCTGTGTTGATCTTTAGCGGTATCAACAAGTTGAAGCTTGGAAGTCATTTGTGGTGGGAAGTGGTAGGGAGGAGTTGCCGGTGTATTTTTGTGTTTGTCATGTCACGGAAATGGATGCCAGAATTTAGGAGTTGCAGGTTGAAGCTATTGTAGGTGATTTCCTTTCTTGTACAGTATGTATAACTATATATATTTGTTTTGTGCAACTACTCGACAGTCAGATTTTTCGTGGACCCTCGATCCGTAGGAAAGGGCAGATCCTAAGGTGCCGGTAGAAGATATCTATGTAACATTATGTAACTGTATATGAACAGTGTTAAAACATGTCCAAAGTAGAAGAGGTGGTGACTTGCCAAGCCCGTTGGACGGATATTGTGATGAAGGTCTGTATTTTCCTTGGCACCCAGAAAGAAGCAAGGACGACGCCAAAAAAGGTGCGTTTGGAAGGTGACTGAATTGCCATGTTTGTGTGTTTGTATTAATTGACTCACCAACTTCTTTCCAATCTTTCCATCACTTTTTATTCCGTAAGTCTTGGATCCACACCAGGATTCATTTCTACCTGCTGTCACATGGTACCAGCCCCAGCTTCAAACTGCTCTTTGCGTTCATCCCCATGCTGATCTACTTCTTCCTGCTGCAACTGGGGACAGCCTACCACAGTGCCGCTCTCACAGCGGCACCGGCTGTGATGGAAGAGAAAGAGTTGGAAGAGACATGGGAAGCTGGGCAGCAAGCCATAGCAAGCCATAGGGAGCCTAGGGAATTACGTGTAGGTCAGTACAGTAGATGTATATAGATGTTATGTTAATGTGGTAACGCAGTAGTTCATAGTTTGATAAGTTTAATAGTTAAATATATGATTGCGTGCGTGTTAATTATTTTTTGTGTGGGACTGATCCCAAAGTTTCACAATGTTCCAAGGTACTAGCAGGATAGTTCCCCTTGCATTGGAGCTCTTGTCCAAAACAACTGACGTGGCTAGCTGGCTAGTGGTTTCAAATATCCTATGTTGTTCCATCGCCCATGTGGAAACCCCAAGGAAACATGGTTCAAACGTGCTACATGTGTTATATGGTTGATGTTGATGTGGGCATGGCTCACAATCCTTGACCCCATTTCGGGATAATTAAATAGAAACACATACATTCACGCACAAAAATGGACAAGACCAACATATGCATATTATATGAACATATATGTGTAAGCATACGTAAATATACATATATATATATACATATGTGTATGTGTGTCTATAGGGGTCCAATTCCCGCCATGTTTTTTTCCGCCGTGGCCATGTGATCCATCAGTCGCTCCGGTCCGCCTGCGTTCAACGCTGGAACGCCAGGGGAAGTTGGAACGCCGCACCAGATGCTGGGCCACGATCTTAGCGCACCTCACTGGCTTCGGATCCATCCATTGCGGAACGGCTCCCTGGTGGAACTGCTGGAGACAGGAGATGTGATGATCCGATGGCTTGGGAGTAGCACTGGATAGCTTCATCGTGTTGGTACCAAGATATTGCGTAGCTGCCGAGCTGGCTTGTAAGACTCATACTGGGACATAGGTCATTGCCATGCAGACCTGAAAAGAACATAAAGGAAGTGCATATTTGAATATATGGTTCCTTTTGTTGACATGCTGAGAATTATATCAGAGTACATCCTTTTATATCGGAATTCTCATCCAACCAATCTTTGATCCTAAGTGTTTCTTTGAAATGTTTATGATAAATCGAGAGACTCCAATCCAACGTCGCACGTGGGGATGGGTCAAGACGCGTCAAGACTTAAAAACCAAGCTGCCATTTTCGGCGAGCACGCACTAAATTTTGATGTGACAACCAGGGTATCATTGGGCACCAGGGTTTTTATACAGTATATACTTCATATAGCCCGCAGAAAAGGCAATTTGGGGTGGTCGCAAAATTTGATAACGTATTCGATTCCATGGCTCTCCCAGTTTTCACATCAGTTCATTATATAGATAGAGACAATAGAAATGCGATAGCCGCAAATCGGGTGCATTGGGGCAAATCCCTCATTCAGGGGGAACCTTGATGGTTACTTTAGTACAACTTAGTCTTTTGCTTTTTGATAGCTGGATATAAATCCTGATCAGCTAATTTTTTTTTGGTATCTAAGATTGGCCATGTTACCAATAACTACCACTGGCTAAATCCCCATATACCCCCCAAACATTTTTGTTGGTCCATCATTCAGACATGATAGATATAATCCCATCCCCTCAATATTATATAAACATCCCCTGAAATGGTCCCAGTTACCCTCCGGTAAACCAACATAGCTATGGAAAATGAGTGATTTATAGTTGATTTACCCATTAAAAATGGAGATGTTCCATAGTTATATGTTAGTTTACCGGACAGTATGTGTCAATCCCGTACAAAAAGCCATGCTTTTCTCCAGCCCCGCCCCGTTTTTGGTCAGGTTCTGCAGCATATGCCCTGGCTGCGGGACAGCCCCGGTGCTTCTTTCGTCGCTGCGCCAGCGATGTTTCTGCTCGCCGCGGTGCTCAACTGGTGCGCGCGGCACGTGCGGGAGAGGGCTGCTTGGTGACGATGGGATCAGCTAGGGGAGCTGGGGATGATGATAATTTACTCCTGGAAAATCATGGAAAACCATGGGAAATCATGTAAAATCCCAAGCCAGCCTGGTTTTTTCCGGTATCTTAGTAGCATTTGAAGATTTCAGATATGTTCAGGTCTTCAGTAATCAGAAGAATTTGTTGATGACCAATCGCCAAGCCAGGCCAGAACCTAAGAGGAGCCCGGTTTTTACCGCGGTGGGAACAATATTTTGTATGACTTCCACAACAAATGGCATTTAGAAACCAACAACCATCAGTCCCAAATATCGATTCAAGTCATAAATATCATTATCTGTCATAAATATTTGTTTGTATATGTATATAGTATTATACATATGAATTTATATATATATATATATATTAAGATGTATACATATATATATATGTATATATGGCAATATATGGGTGTGTGTGTGTGCGTGTAAAAAGAGGGGGAGGGAGAGAGGGAGAGAGAGAGAGAGAGAAGAGAAGAGAGAGAACCCTTGATCTTCCCACAAAGTTTCGGGATTGGAGGAGGATCAGCTGAAGTTCCAAAGCACCAGACAGCATAAACTGTTCGCGACGGCTGTAGGTACGTGACTCCAAGACTGCGTGATTTGTGGAAGTCTGTTGTTTCATCAGTATGCATGCTCTAGAGTTGCCTTCAACTTTATATTTAAGCGGCCCACCAGAATCAAACATGTTTTCATGTTTTCCCCATAGATCTTTGGTTTCTCCAAGTCTCTCCAACTTCGATATTTCGCCAAGGTCACCTCCAAGACCTACCAGCGCCTCCCCGACTCCACCGGCTCCCACGACCATGACGTCTCCGCCTGGGCCGGAGAGTGGCAGCGCTGGACCTACGACCTGTGGACCGAGAACGTCATCGACGCGGAGCATGACTCGGCGGCGCTGGCGGTGTCCTTCTTGCTGGTCCAATCCTGTCGCTTCGCCTTCAGCGGGCAGCTGGCAGATGAGATGACGCCAGGGCAGAAGAAATCGCAGAGGACCATCGAAGAGCTGCCCGAACTGATTTTTATTAATTTTGATTTGCCCGTTTACCCAGTTTTTATCAAGATTGCTGGAAAACTCGTACCATTTGTAGGACCATGTTCCTCGTGTTTTCCATATCATTCCATATCTATGTTAATTCATTGATATTCATTGGGGGATAAGACCAAGTGTTTAGATAACTTTAGATGCAGATCTTTGATATTTTTTGAGAGGCTGATAGCTGTTTAGGGCAGGATGCGTTTGTTCGAAACGCATGACATTTATTTATCCCCACCATTAAATGTATAATTTATCAGTTGTTCTTGATTTTTTTAAGGGAACAAACAAACATAAAAATGATAGTAGTAAAAAAACACTTGTGTGGGCCCATGGTGCCTTTATTTCGCCATTTCCGGTGTCGTTTGCAGGGAGCTGCAGGAGATCCAGGCAAAGAAGCCATTCCGTTTGGAGGAAGAAATTGTATACACAAAAAAAGGTTCAAAATTGTCATCAAATGCCTGACTGGTTGGTGGTTTGGAACATTTTTTCATATTTTTCCATATATTGGGAATCATCATCCCAACTGACTCATATTTTTCAGAGGGGTTGAAACCACCAACCAGCTGAAATAGATTTTCCTGGGTGAATTTTCTTTGAACAGCTTTGAATCTTGACCAAGGTTCGCAGGTTTTTCTCTTGTTTTCGCAGTCTTGAGCATTGTGCTGGTGGTTGCAGGGCGGAGGATTTTCAGGGGTAGCTTGGCACCGGCAGCGGCATCCTGGGATGGGGCTACATCTAGAATCTAGCTTTAAAGACCAAGTGCGACCCAAGATCAAGCAGCAAATATTTCATTTCCTGAAAACTTGTAAACTGAGTGAACAAGCTAAGCTAAGCCGTTTCCAAGATGAAACCCGCCTGGCAAAGCCAGTATTTCTGTGTTTCAGTTAGACCTTGAATCATCAATCGTGATGTTGTACACATGTACATTCATTTTGTTGATGACATTTATAATCATTTATATCATATCCAACTTTCAGCATTTATTCCGGTTTTTTGTGGTGATTTGTTGACTTTCATCTTTATGTTCACCGGTATTTTGTTGCACATGGCAGGTGCAGCACCAACGCCCGGCACCTTGAAATCCTTCCTGCGACGTTGTTTGGCGCTGCTGCAGTGTCTTGGTGAAGCGGATGCCCGAGGATGGAGATGACCGGGCTGTCGGATTGAGGACAAACTAACTGACTGACAGATGAATGGGATTTAATGGTATTTTAATGGGACATAATAGGATTTTATGGTGTTTTAATGGGATTTAATGGGATATATGCAGATTACCCTCTGGTAAACATACAAAAAACTATGGAAAGATACACCATTTTTAATGGGTAATTCCACTATAAATCACCATGTTCAATAGCTATGTTAAATTAGCAGAGGGTACATGAGATTACATGACTATAGATATATATAGTTAGTGTATGTCAGTGTGGTACCGAATGCTTGGGGGTATTAAAAAAAAGTTGCTTATGGTTCATATCGAACGTTTTTGACCGTTGAGTATGGTGAAAAAAACGCGAACATGATCTTAAAATGGTTGTATGGTCTGATAGCGATGGTTAGTTGATGGCTGGCGCTGATTGTGGACACCGCCTGGTTAAATTGCTGTCATCTTCTCACAATAGGAGTATCTATTAACCAACCGTCGTGGAATGGGACGGGTATTTTTCAGTGGGATGGATATGGAGATCGAACGGCCATGTTTTCCTCAACATCAAACGAAGGGATTTTATTCATTTAAATTATTAGGTCAGTATTTTTTGAAATGGCCGACCTCGTCATGATACGAAGATAAGACGACTGAAAAAAAAACGACCCCAGCAAGAATGAATGTTGCATACTTTGGCAACTTTGCACAGGGGCTAAGATTAGCCATGCACAATTATGGCACGGCATATTTCATCCCTAAGCTGGCATAGCTATGGAAACTCCGCGTAAAATCCAGGTTTTGTTTCATCCATCAACGTTAGGCCATGGCTTCGCTATGGTCACCTGCTCAGGCTATCCTCTGCGATGGCATTCGCATGGACCTTACTCTTCAGCGCCCGCTGGGAGATTACGAGGCGAAAAATGTGGATGGCCCGCTGTGGCCGTGATGCCCCAAGATTATGGGGCTTCATGGGGGGGTTTACCAACCCAAAAATAAGGATATCATGAGGGTACAATGGGATTATGTGACCAACAATAAATATGAGTTGGGTTAGTCCAAAGTGGAAAGATAGGATTTTGAAAGAAGGAAGATGAAGATGAAAGATAAGATTTTGCTGGGCCCTATATTCAGACCCTTGCACATCAAGTGTGTGACATAAAGAATTCGATGAGAAAACACAGTGAACCCGTTTCCAGAGAGCAGCTTGGAGTTGCAATTTGAAAGGCTTGGGGTAGGCAGCACAGGAAAGTATCAGTGAGCGGTTTGAAATATTGGGAGATGGTCATCAATCGATTATTTTCGGGATTAGTTCACCGACTGTGAGGATCCCCAATATGCGACTGATGATTATAGCCGATTATAGCCCATTAATCCCATGGATTACTCCCAGTTGCCTGCTTTCCATTTTCCATACTTGTGTGCCAATTGATGCCTGAGCAATTCGAATTCCGAGCATAAACCACGAAATGGGTCCGTTTTTTGGCACATCTTTCAAAGATGATAAACAAAAACAAAAGAACCAAAAAGGCTTGCATAGACAAAAGATCATGAAAGTGGGAGAATTCACCCCACCACCCCTATATCAAAAAGAAACCATCAGGATCCCTTGAACCGACATGGCGCGCCAGGTTTAGTGGCTACGTGGGGCCCCCGACGTCGCTGACCTCTCGCACCTAGCTATGGATGCCATGGCCGTTTATAGTTCGATGATTTACTGTACTCTGAACATGGTGATATATGGTGATTTTCCAGATTAATCATATATATCATATTATGTTAAACTGTCAGGGGGAATGCCATGGTATGCCAAACTGGCCCCCTCGATATTTCCCGAACTTCATGGGATAGAACATTACAGATCATAAACATAGCATGGTATCTACCATGGTATTTATGAATGACTGCTGAGCCAACATGGGCCAACACGCTCCGGGGCAGATGGTTTGCCTATGAACGACCTTGAAGATATTATTCGAAAAGCGATCACAGGCGATTTTTACCATGACCTATAAATGCACTATATATATATATATATACTCTGTGTGTTCATGTCCATTCTTGAGATCCCCTCGTAATCTAACATAGCTATGGAAAACCACCAATTTAACTGGTAAACTCATCTACAAACGGTCAATTTTCCATAGCTATGTTCGACTACCAGACCTTATACTGCTCTGAACATGGCTGAACAATTTACTCTTTTGACCTGCAGGCCTGTAGCCTTCTCGGTTTTGCAAACAGGTTAAAACAGATGTGTTGCTTTTTTGGGGAGCGGGATTCAATGACTAAACTTTATATTAAACGCATGGAGTGAAACTTTGAAAACATTTGAAAACTATCGCATCAGCCCCAGCATTTTATCATATGTCCATATATGTTTGGTTGGTGGTTTGGAACATTTTTTCTTTTCCCATATGTTGGGAATGTCATCATCCCAACTGACGAACTCATATTTTTCAGAGGGGTAGGTAACCCCCACCAGTATTTATGATTGCATTATGATATTCATAGCCCATATCATCCCATATTTCTGTTCATATTATGATTTATGACATTTATGGATGATGATATGACTATATAATAGATAATGAACCAACCAGATAATTATTAACCATCATCAACCATCATCATTAACCATCATCATTAACCATCATCATTAACCATCATCATTAACCATCATCATTAACCATCATTAACCATAAAATAACATAAAATAACCATATATTAACCATTATTAAGAGTATATTAACCCTGAGTCCAAAAAAAATTCACCGGCTCGCGGCTCGTCATCGTCCGTGAGGCATCAGCCTGGCATTGGCGATCTCATTCTGTGCAGCCCTGATCATCAAAATGTGGGTGATCCCAGGGTGGCTAATACGGCTCTGTTTTCATGGGGAAGAACCATGGTATAACACCCATGGGTTTTATACCCCCAAATATAGGGGCTATTTCAATAGGGAAACGTATTTAAAAACATGTTGATGTTTTTTGGGGGTACCATTTTCAGCAAACCGATATGCGTATATGGCTGTGGATTGAATCTATTTGGATTTTTACCCGGAACAGCGGACAGTTCCAAGACTAAACATGACAAATGTTGTGGGCCAATGGGAGTCCATGGGTGCAGAATGGTACTACTCAGTTTTTGCCCCCTATTTGGATCTATTTGGGATAATCATGGCCATTGACAAATTCAATCGTCCTTCTTTTCCGCTTTTTTTCGATGTTTTTTGGGATCGGTTGGGACCGTTGGGTTTGCCCCTCCTGCTTGATGCTGAAAGCAAGAATTTGTTTGTCCATTCTAGCCACTTTGGGATGGAAACCATCCAGAATGGTGGCAACATTTTACCATATATGTTGCTTAAAAAAAACAAGCAGCCTCTGGCAATTACAAGTGGAAAGTGGAAAGTGGACAATTCTCCATTCATAGATATCCTGATATACTGTAGAATTTTATAGATCATTTCCCAGCTATAAACCTGCATGTCGTGCAAGGATTTCCCACTGGAATAATTTCCCAGCGGAGCCGCAGGTTGGATTTCGTGATTGACCTGGAGAGCACCGAAGAAGATGCTGATGAAGCTCTAGGCCCCGATGGCTGAAGAAGTTTTGGCTAATAAGATGATGGGTTACTATAATGGTTAAGAATTGTTAGTGGTTATATTATAACTTATATAATAACATTATTGTAACTAATGGGTTACTATAATGGTTAAGAATGGTTAGTGGTTACTGTACCGTTTTTACCGCCATTTATAGCCTTTTATTGCCAGTACTGATGGGACTTACCCTTTGGTACACCAACAGCTTTCGAACTGGAAAATCACAATTTCTTTATAGGTCATCTATATGTCATCTATAAACCAAGGAAAGATAGACATAAACTATCGAACATAGGTATGGAAAATAACAATGTTTAATGGAGAAGAACAACTTTTTCTATGGCCATGTTCAATAGCTATGTTAAATTACCAGAGGGTAAATGAGATAATTATATGAGAGAGAGATGTGCAGATGATTCTGTCAAAATGTTGCGTTGATCAAATATTAGAGTAAGAAAATCGGATGTTAGTTTTTGCATGAAACCTCTTAAACCAATACGGGACACAGGGCGCTCACAAAGAAACGATATGTTTTCCTTGTGCAGTTGTTGTTTGAGTTGAGGATCAAAGTGGACACCCAATCCCTTCAATGCTATGCTTAAACGGAGGTAAAACAGGAAACCCTGTAGGATAGGGGGTCACTAATTTGCTGACGCACTTGACTGAAGAAAATTGAAGAAATATATTTCGACTCTGCCTGGCTCATTTAATTATGTGAGTTATTGATGTCGTTATCATCATTTTTATCATTGATTATCATTGCTACGATGATATGTGTATGCAATCATATGCGATTATATGTGCATGCACGTGCGTGTTTGTGTGCATTCACGTCCGCACAGATTTCTACATGTGTGTATGCCGACGCAATTTACAAACCACGTAGCCACCTGATCTAGGCACACAAACAACCGTACGGCCCGGAAATCTGCTCAGCATTTTGATCAATTTGTAAGATCAGTCTCTTCGTGCATGTAGTCCAAGTGTGGTGTTTGCATGTGTTTGGCATATCTTTAGAAACATCTTTGCTTCCCTTTGTGTGGCAATTCTAGTGGGGTCTACCAAAATCATTGTTCTATTGCAACGAGAGCTTTAAAATGTTTGTTGCAGACCTTCAAAAAACGTTACGTTTTTTAGAGTGTCTTTTGTTTCGCCACAGCGCCAGTACTTTTTATTCCTTCATGTCATCTTGCGGACAGTCTTAGCTGCGATGTCGCAGACATCAGAATTCCCATGAATGTAGCGCCATTGCCAAGCCTTCTGATCATTGGACTCTGGCTAGACAGGCTGCCGGGGAGCATCTTCTTACAGGCCTTGCTGCCGAAGTACATAAGACGTGTCTAGCGTAACATCATGTGCGTGCATCGAAGTATATAAGACGTGTCAAGCATAATCTCATGTGCGTGCACCGAAGTACATAAGACGTGTCTAGCGTAACATCATGTGCATGCACCGAAGTACATAAGATATTGCCCCCCCACCCCCCACCCCAAATGACCCAAGCGCAAAAAACGCAAAAACGCTGGGCCGGTTTTCAGGCCGTAGGCATAAACAAGTATAAGGTCAACGCCGGATTCATAGACCCTGATCAGGAGGTTCTCTCAAATGGTGATAATTTGCTCCTCGAATGGAATCCACCCAAAATCTTTCAGCTGTTTTAAGAAAAGTCCTGTGGCCACCAGGTAATATTATCAGTTCATTGGGAATTCTGGTGGGTTTCTCCTGGGAGCAGTCCTTCGATGGAGGCAGGAGAAGTTGCCGGGCCAGAAGACGGCGATGTGTTGTGTAGATTAGATGTGTCGAAAGAGTAAGCTGAATCCGAAAAGCAAGGAAAAACATAGATAAATGGGTTCTGAAGATGATTTTCCTGTTTGATATTGCATTTCCTGAAGGGTCCAGGTAAATTTCAGGAGTAGATTGGTGGTAGAGTGATTTTGTCAGGGCATTGGCCGACTGCTAGTTCACAAGATTTCACAAGTCAGAAATTCGTGGCACCAAAAGAAGAGGGAGAAACGTTCGAAGAACGCACCACTGAAATCAAAATCTCTTACATGTAGTGTTGCTCAATATCTCCATGACAGCATCCTGAATCATATCAATTATAATTGATCAATTATGACACCGTTTTCATAGCGTTCATAGCTTATGGCCATTCCCCCTTTCATTGTTGCTTATCCTCCCGGACTATTGGCCCATAGTTCCTTACATTCCGGAAACTCCTATTCCTTCCGGGTTTTTGCCATCATCAGCATGTGTTACTATCACCATGTTGCTGAGTTTTAACCGCCAAGACAGATGCTGTTCGTCCGTCGTACCAGGCGTGGAAGTGGTGGCATTGCGGACTTACAGGCCTCTCTGGACAGAAGTTGCCTTGGCATGTGCTGTGCGGAGCCCTGGGGTGCCGCAGGAGAGGGGGAACAGTTGCTTTTATTTCTCGACAATGAATGTGAACCCCCGAGAAAATGGTTGATTAACTGTGGGGTGTCAAAGATTATATAGTTAAATAGTGATAATCTGCTGCCAGAATAGTACCTCCCATTTGAACAAGCCAGGTGTTCACACAATCCAGTCCCCTATGGGAATTGCAGGGATACCCCCATAGATTTGTCCGAACTCCGACAGGCAGGAACAAGGGTAGTGCTAGTTACTGTACATCAAACTAACTATTTATTTGTGATATGTAACTATGGTTGACTGATATTCATATCGCAATGTTAGTATAAAAGCATTTTATGATTTTCTGGTTGACTGATATTCATATCACTTGCTTGGTGGCTGATGTTCCTTTGAGTTTGGTATTTAGAGGCCTGCATTTGGGTTTGCCCAGACCTGGGTCTCAATTAGAAAATTATCGTCTAAGGCCCAGTCGGTCATATTTCCCTCGCATTTTTACAGGGGAATTTGATTATCCTTCTATCTATCGGAGTATTTATTCAGAAGTGTATAATAATAACAATCGTAATAATAACAATAATGTTATATATATATATAATATATATATGTATAATATATATATAACCCCTTATAACTGTAATCTTTAATTGGTTGACTTCCCATCATGTTTTTGTCAGCTTGGCTAAGGGACGAAAAAAAGTCTGGGATGTTCGTTGAGTGCTCCAGGTGGTGGCCCTCATTCTCCCGGCCTGGCGAAGACATATCCTGGAGAAGGTCATTGTGGAGGAGACAAAACTCGGAAAATTGGATGTACCCTTTGGTAAACTAACATAGCTATGGCAGCTATGGAAAGATCCACCATTTTCAATAGGCAAATCAACTATTTCAACATAGCCATGTTCAATCGCTATGTTGAATTACCAAAGGGTATCGAAATATATTTATGCCACTATAAACACTGCAAATATTATGAAATATTATGAAATATTATGAAATATTATGAAATATTATGAAATATTATGAAATATTGTGAAATATTATGAACTATGTATAAATATGTTTGTTATCTAAAGGATTTCGAAATGATTGAAACATCCGACCAAAAATATCAACCTCCGTTGGCCCAAGATTCTATCTATTCTGTTTGAATCTGAATATTAGGAATTCAGATATGACTATCTTATCATATCTTATATTAGGTCAAGATAGAATAGATAAATCGGGTCAAAAAACTGATATGCGCTCTGGATCCCTCTGGTATTTTTTCACAGTTTGCCATGGAAAATTGTCTTTTTATATGCAGATGATTTATAGCTATGTCAGCTATGTTATATAGTTTGCTGGTGTGTTGGTGGGTATCTTATGTGTATACATGCCACTTAATATGAATATTAGGTTCATGTCGGAGTTGCAGTCAAAAATATGAACATTATATATATATATATGTATATACTACATCGAAGCATATTGTAGTATTGTGTATGTAAATGTGTTTTATTGATGAGACAATAGATTCATGAATTTTTCTGTGCATATATATCATATCATATTTACATGTGTTTACTGGGGTACGGGTCAAGAGTCAAGACCTCCAAACTTGCGTTTGTCAGCGGTTGTTCTATTTCGAACCATCCCTCAAAAAATAAAAGTTAATTAAATACTCAACATATTTCAGGAGCAAATGACTGCTCTATTGATTGATTGTTTGAGCCGTTTGAGCTATTAGTTATCCGGTTGCGACAGGAGAAGAAGAGGGCTCACAAGGAGAGGCGCAGCCGAGAGCTGCGATAGCGCACATGACGATCATCTGCAAAGATGTGCATGATGTATATATATAGATATATAATATGCATTGTACATATATTGTACACGGTATATATATATAATATATATATATACATATCATTATATGTACCTAGAACGTCTACACATGCATGCATACACACCGTAGTTATATATCAATCTATGTTTATTATCCATATGATCTTGATTCTTGATAGTGCATTTTCGAGCACCGCGCCAATGAAATATAATGTTGATATGTGTGCAACCACCAGGGGTCACAATAGACATGGTTCATCCAGCCGACCAGCTTGCAAGAGCGTGTCGGAAGTGTTGTTTCACCCTGGCAGTTTCAGGCCAAAGCGAGGCAACAAAAGTGTAGTTGGCTGTGATGGGTCATGATGGGTCAACACTTTTTAAGGACCCATGGGGACCACGGATGATCTTTTGGATAAACCATCCCATGTTGGTTGACTCATCGCATGCTTGATGGATTCTTGGGGTTTCACTGAAACAGCAATCAACTATGGACGGTTGTTCTCCATTTTTCTATACTGTCGCTTCGGCTGCAAAAAGCCAACAGGTCTTTCATCTGGGATTGATGCGGCAAGGTCATCCCAAAATCAGACATGAAAAATTGAAAAGATACAACCGTCCAACAGCAAAACGGCTACAGATCTCTGCAGATGTTGTCTCAGTGGCTGGAACTCTCTGAGATTTCTGGTAATTGCAGCCATTTTTGGCCTGGCAGCTAGTTCTTAGTTCGCCCTGATGTTCGTCACCTGCTGCCGTTGCACCGAAGGTGCCGATGGGGGCACCGAAGCCTGTGCAGATGATGAGGTGCTGCCGATCAGTGCTGTTCTGACCGCAGCCGGCATGGCCAAAAGTTCCACAGGGGCTGAGGCCGCAAAAAGCGACGAGACTCGAGTGGCAGATTCCAGCAAAAAGCTGCATGCCTGTGCCCGATCCCTGCGATCCAGGATTGATAAAGACAAGCAGGAAGTTTGGAAGAAGACAGCAGCTGAATTTGAAGTGCAAAAGATGATTTGGCAAAGCCTCAGTATGTGACTGGGCCATCGTTTGGGACACTTTGGGGCCATGTTTGGGACACTTTCTAAAGTTCCAGACCTTTTTTCCCACCTGAAAACCCAGACGGAATATGAATGGCAAGGCGGTCATCGTGAGTATAGCCTGTGTCAAAAGCAAGGAAACCACATCACACTGATTATCAGATTTTCAGTTCTATACTTCCATAAATGATCATAAATGCAGCCCCCCCAAAAGAAAGATGCCCCAAAGTCTTGCGGAACCAACAGGCCCATTGTCCGTCATTTTTTGTCCAGGAAAGGCGGCGAGAAGCTGAAAGGAATCGCTGCCATGATTGAGTCGAAAGTCGAGTACGCCATTGCCAGCCACACCAAAGATCTCGACTCCGCCATTGAAGCTCTGGACACATGCCTGGAGAAGAACAAAGGTTTCTGGGCACGAAAAAGACTGTAGAATTACACCCCAATAAATATTTCACATGGAGCCTTAAAGTTTGGATCCAACATGATCCAACAGATGGTTTTACTACTAAATCATGGCATGTTTGGGCTTCATGGTGTTCCATGATAAATTTTGGAGATATGGAAATGGTATATGTGTTTTTGTTTGGGGATAGCTGGGCGACGTACATCTCCGGGAAATCACAACATCATGAGCGTCTCAGTGATCCATGATGAACTTGTGAGGAACGAGACATGGTCTGGCTGGTGGTTACATCGTTTTCACATGTTTTTTTCCCACATGTTTTCACCATTCCATATTTAAGTGATGTTGGTCCCTCATTTCCACCGACCTTTTCATATTTTGGGATCAACTTTCCACCAACTGTTGGCAAAAACAGTCGCGACACGAGGTCATGACCTCTTATCCGCGGCCATGTCGGAAGCCATCGAAGAAATCAAGAATTGCCCCAAAACTCTGGCCATGCAGGCGCCCTTTTTCGGGAAATTCATGGCACGGCCGGCCACATATCGCTGGGGAAACCCTGCGACTCAATGGTGTTTGTTGGTTACGCTTATTTTTTGGCTGTTCATGGGGAAATCGGCGTTTCACCAGCTGATTTTCGATGGATTTTTGGGTATATAGCTATGGTTTTCCACTTGTGGTGACTATGGTTGGGGTTCCAGCTGGTTTGATGTAAGCCACTCTCAATCTAAGCCAGTAGACCCTTCCAAGTCACGTCAGGAGTTGGCCTCACTGCTAGATAGCGCGGCTGAGGACGGCGCAAGACATGTGTGACTGCATAATGGGATTCGATGGGCAGAAATCTGGTGGTTTGTTCGTTTCACTATGTTCAGACTATGTTTAATCAAACCCCTCTTGCAAACACACATAAATGATCATAAATGATGGTATCATCCTAACCCAATTCTGGTAACCCAATACTGGTTGGTCTGGTTGGTCTGGTTGGTCTGGTTGGCAACTATCAAGATCATCAATGATGGCTTTTTCGGGTGGTTTCCGCATGGGGAGGAGTTGGCCTCGGGCACCAAGTCCCGGAGCGCCACGGACGTGGATGATCCGTTGAAGCGCAGCGACCTTCAGGGCGGCAAGTTGGAGACGGCCATCCGTGGCGCCTGGTCGGCGGCCTACAACTGAAGTACTTTCCGGGGGGACCCGCTCAGTGAGGTCCATGGAAAATCTGTCGGTTGAGGTCCTGGTGATCCGGGATGATCCCGTGGCACAAGAAAAAAGGCCAAGTTGTGAGAAGTGGGCTTAGATGGGAAAATTTCTTGAAATTGGTGGGGGACTTTTCGGTAATTTTTGAAGGTGCTTGGCAGAACCCAGTGACAATCCCACTTGGAATCACATTTGGCCTTTGTGGCAGAGGCCCAACGCCGCAAAGATATTTTGAAGGTTGTGGCTATTAAATTTGAATTGGGTCCTATGTGCCCGTCCTTGAAGTGCAACGACTATTTTTCTGAATGGGTGGAAAAACATCATCGCCGCCCAGTGATGTTTAAACTTGCTCTTGGCACCACCCGTGCCACATCAGACCTGTGTTTCAACATCCAGTTTCACCGCTTCGACCAGAGGGAAGCTGTCGTCAAAGCCATCGGATGGTACCTCTGGGGGGTTCTTCCATCGCTGGGGATTCCTGACCTCCATGATCCTTTAGTCATGGAGGTGTGATCATGCTCTTAGATGCTCTTACTACGTGTTTATTTATGTTTATTTTCTTCCGCGACTCTGGGAGGTGTGTTTGATCATGAAAAAATGATCATCCCAATAAGTAGACAGAGTTCATGAGATTTCAGCATCAGTTCATAGGATCGTGGCTTTTGACTTTCACACAGGGCATATACCTTGGCTTCAGGTGTAAAGCCAGTTTTTGGTGTTGCAAGTTCTGTCAGTCATGTATTATTTGTCAATTTATATTTATACAGTATACTTATTGATATATATAGAGAGAGAGAAAGAGAGAGATAGATAGATATATTGTATACTTATTGATTTATCACTTCATTTTGATTCATTTTGCGCATTTTTTACATCCTGTAATCCCATTGGCTTTGGTTCCCCCTAACCTTTCCAATGGTCGCCACCCATCATGACCCACCCCAGGCGACTTCAAGAGTTTGGATGTCGATGGCTGACAGAGGGGAAAAAGTGGGCCAGCGTAGGTCGAGAACTGTCTTGGATGGGTACTTTATCTTCGTGTGCATCTATATTAATGAATAAAGAACAAATAAATCAATAAATGAATAAATATAGGTATAGTTTTGATATTTAATATTTAAACAGCTATAGTGGGGATACAATCTAGGTAAGTAAGTTTAGTGCAACTTATTTGTTTCCCAGTTTTACGCGGATATATACTACATGACTTTGTCAAATCCCTGTAGCCAGCTTGAAGAGAGGGAAAAGAATGCGACACTCCCTTGTTTCGGAGGGATGTGCTTGTGATTCTGGGAAGTTATATAATATAACGCAATAGTTTATAGCCAACAGTCGAAAATACAATGTTCCCATTTTTGGTCGAGCCGAACCTCCGAGTTGTAGGGTTCAACCAATAGTTTGGGTCGATTTTGATGACTTCACCAGGACGTTTGGCCTTTGATGGTTAATGACCAAGGTGAAGCAATCCAAAATCACCTGATGTTCCGGCGTGATGAACTATTGAAAAAAAAACACTATTTCAGATCTATCTCAGCTCAGCCAGGATTGATGTGTTTTAACTTCCGGCAGTGCTGATGTGCCGACCAGAGAAAAAAAATATATATATATATATACATATATATAATATGGCGTTTCTGCACCTGTTGACTGAGCCTCTACTTCATTCATGTCCACTGAAGTTTCGAGTGCGGAAAGGTGCTTCCAACCCAGAATGATCCAGATATATCCAGCCTGCAGCTTATTTCTGATCCGACTCTCCTGCCCAAACACGGCCGAAGCTCTCACTGGTCCAAACCTTCAGGACAACATGGCTCACATCATGGCTGCGGTCCAAGTTTGCATTCAAAAATGGTGCAAAAGGTCCAGGAATAGAAGGAATATGCCGTGAACTGCCGTGAATTTTGGGCCTTGATCATCTGATAATTTCCCTGGCAATGGTATTCACCCACTGCATCTATACTCTCCCGTTGCAGTTAGTAGTGATTCATCACAGAATCATCCCTGGCACCCGGAGATTGCCACGGCTTCAACTGGATACACGGAACCAAATCTCAGGCCTCTTTCGTGCGGTGATCGGGACATATATGGGGACCTGGATCAAGTTCTTCACCAAGTTCTTCAAATCCAAAAGATCCGGGTAAAAATACTTCAGCTAGGTCCATCTTAATCTGGTTGGTGGTTTGGAACATGACTTTTATTGTCCATAATATATGGGATAATCCTTCCCATTGACTTTCATATTTTTCAAGATGGTTAAAACCACCAACCAGTAATGTATCAACAGACTTTCTATCCAAAAGATCTGTTTCTATGGCTTCTCCAACAGAAGAGTGACTCACATAAGAAACCCTTAAGGAAATGATAAAGTTCATTGGTTAACCGGCTAATATTCACGTTTAAATTTGGCATGTTGGGGTATCTTCTAGTTTGAGATGCACCCAGTCATCATAATTTTGATCTGTGCACATCCTGGAATATTGAAGACTTAATATGACTGAATGACATTTAATGACCAAACTGGTTCATCCCAATATATCCCAAGATTTCCCCCAAAATCCCCCTATGGCCCTATGGGCTCCATATATGTCATATGTCAAGATTTACCCATCGTTCATCCTGCACCTCGGTTTCCAGGGCCGTGTTTGATGCAGCGTCAGCCATGAAGGCGGCGTTCCTTGGCCGATTGCGGTGTTTCATGTGACAACCGTGGGAAAATTACACACCATTCTAAGTGGAATCAAAAAAGCCATGACACATGCTATTTCGCATATTTTGTTCTAGATTCTAGGGCGCCTTAATCAAATCCAAGAAGTTCAACATGCTCTGAGTGATGATTTGATGAAAGCGGCTTTCATAGCAGCCATAGCACTTGAGTTTTTCTGATTGGAAGATGGTTGCCACTGGGATGCCAGTCCTAGGGCAAAAAAGGGTCGATGGTTTGGCTCCCAAGTGTACCAAATCACAGTGATTGCAATGGAGGAATTCGTTGGACCATATTGGACCAGTGATTGATGGGTTTTTGGTGTTTGGCGGTAGCTGTGCTCAACACGCTTTAAATCTTTTTAAGGTTTTTGGCAGCAGTTGCCAATGGCTATGGTTGAGCAAAAAGGGCGCAATCGGACAGCAGAAAGTCACAGTAAATCCGACGGAGGAACCAGGTCCTGAACGTATGCTTTTTGGCATGAAACAAGCCAAACATACGCATAGTTAGTCTGCAAATCGCAATTTATATCATTTTCATCAGGAAATCTTGATATTTAAGACCCACATGATATGGGCTAGGTCCCCGAACTCCGCTTGTTTGATCAGTCGAGCCCCGCTTGACTAAGGCTCTTTGTTGTGTCCCCCAATGGCCAGCAACAGTGCGCCGGGGAATATGTGATGCTTCCGGAGACTGCCAATGGCCAACCAGCCCAGGCCTCAGAATGCGACCGGTGGCAACATGTGGAGTTTGCCACTGCTGCAACTCGTGGTTTTTATGGGTGTATTTACACTATATATAATATAGATATAGCATATTATAGTATATTAAACAACATTTTCGTATATTATAGCATATTATAGTATATTATAGTTTGTTATAGTATATATAATAGTAACTAGTGTAATTATTTTAGTATATTATAGCATATTATAGGATATTATAGCAAGTTATACTACATTTAGTATGTATATATATATATATATACATTACATGGTTTATATATATATACATAGTATATATAGTATATATATAGTACATACATATAGTATATATATATAGTTTATATATATATAGTATATATATATAGTATATATATATATAGTATATATATAGTATATATATAGTATATATATAGTATATATATAGTATATATAGTATATATAGTATAGATTATACCTGGATAATCCACCTCTGCAAAATTATCGCTCAAAATCCGAAACATCAATAATTATGTGTCACCGGTTGCCTAAAATATCGTCGTTTCCAGTTTTTTTCGCCGTTTCAAAACTGGCAAACACATGCACAGGCAGACAAATACAAAACTTGCTCGCAGGCAGAAAAAAATGCCGCCAGCAATAATTTCTGAAAAGGCAATAATTTTACATACATTGGAAGATGCAGGTATATAGTATATATGTAACTACAGTATAATGCATATTCTATATATAATGATATTTATATATAGTTATATTTACATATAGTGTATATAGTATGTGTTGTGTATGTATATATATAAATAGTATCGACGAGAAACCGTAATGAAGAACAGTTCGGGGTTGCATGTTAGTCTTCGACCCTGTCAACCTTGGATGACTTGGATCCCCGGCTGGTGAACACTTCACTAAATATAAACATAGCTTAACAGCAAAGAAGATACTGTAATTTTCTGTTGATGTCAATAACTGCTGAATCTTGTTCCAAACATTTTTCGGCAACATTCGGCAACCTTTTTTCATGGCGACAAAAAACATGGAAAAACATGAAGAAACCCAGTCCCAGTCACCACGGCCGAGGTGTGGGAGCAAAAAGCTGGGTTCTTTTGGCTCTACTCAGGTCGATGGTGGGAGACATCGAACGTGGAGTGGAGTTGTGCGGCCTAAAGGGCTAGGCTTTCCCACTGAAACCAATCTGATGTGTTTTCGAGTTTTTTGGAAATTGAATGACATCAGAAGTTTTAAAATCATGTACTTAGTTGGATAAGTTAATGCCGCGGTCTGCATTTTTTTTTGAAACACCCAAATGGCATTTCAAGACGCAGGCATCCCAGCCATACTCAGCAGTTTTCATCCCAATGGCAATGAGGATTCGTTCCATTGACTAACAGGTGTTGGCACCAAGCAGATTTGCAGATTAGCAAGTTCTCATTGTTTATCTAGGTCTGACAAACACCCCCGAACTTTGTCACTGTAAAATCCTCCAAAATGGCCTTTTTTAATGGGGTTTTAATGGAAGTTCCGTCCAGCGAAGCCAGGTACCAATGGCATGTGGATCATTGGCGCAAAAGATGCGAAAGATAAGGCCATCGTACGAATACTCGTATAGTCAGGATGGGTAATCCTCTTAAAGTATACAGTACAATGTAATAAATCTATATAAATCTTGTCAACAATCCACTAGTAAGTTTGTAGCTTGCACCATTTGGGCGGGGTACACCGGGTAAACGATCGCTGTTTGGTGGAAACAACAGTGGTTTACACCCAAAATAATAGCCTAAATGCACAGAGTATTGTTAAGGATGCGGTCTAGGGCTAAGATACTAGTTTTTGTTTTTTTTCGCACACCAGGCTGTTTGGCAGGTGTGAAAGAACGCCCCTGCAATTTGGATTGGCATCCCGGGCCATGGTCACTATGTCATGAAGTGTCGTATACTATATAGACTATATAGTCAAAACCAATATTGCACATATATATATATAATTATATATATATTTATTTATTTAGGTATATACATATATATATATACATACAGATAGAATCAAATAGATGTTAAGTAAACATGTCATCCGTCTACAAATTTTACACGTAAATATAATACATATATATATATACATATCAATACATATCAATACATCTCATATATGTGTGCATATGTACACATAAATATGTTATCTGCAACAGTCGTGCTCCCCCTGAGCGGCCAGAACTTCAAGTGCTCCCATGGCCTGATCTTCTGTCGAACGCTGCATCATGGGGCTGGGCCCTAAGCTGCCAGTGACGGCTTGATGCCCCTGTAATCTCACTCCCCTTAAACATTCCCAACATTAAACATTCCCTAAACCAGTCCAAAATAATCCCAAATCGGTGTAAGGTGGTATAAGTCCCCGTACCAAACCATGATTTCCGCGACGGTGTTTAATATTAGGAGGAAGGGAATGATTTTGAATCCTAGTGTTGAAGTTGGCCTAGATTCCCTAATCCCTGTTCGTTGCTTAAAAAACCACTCATTTTCCTCATTGATGATCTGGTGGTGGCTATTCTCTGATGTTTGCTATACCCTCCCGTAAACTAACATAGATATGAAAATGACATAAGCATGGTGGGTTTTCCACAAAAAAACATGTTAGTTTCCCCGAGTGCAATCACATTTAATCATCAACCAAACATAGCTAAATATAGGTGCATTGCAGGTACATCATCCAATAAATAGATTGAAGTTGGGCCCTTTTTATGCGATGTTCATCCATTTTCCATAGTTTTTTATATGTTTTTATCCACCGCCATATGGAATCCTCCTGAAAAACCCGCCATTCCCAGTCGGTGCTTTTACGGCCTACCGTACCGAGGTGTCGCCAGACCAAGTCGATGGGGTGACTTGGGAGCCCAGTCGTCACTGAGTGGATGGGACAGTCATTACTGATTGTATAATGATAGTAATCTATATATAATGATGATACAATAATTAATATAGTAATTAATGATACATATATGATGATTATATATAGTAATTAATGCTAGTCATAGATTACTAGATATGAATGGTAGTAATTATATATATATATATGATAGTGATATCGCTATCAGGACTAGTAGTGACTAGATTACTGATGGTGACTTAGCTTATATCATATTATATCCCGCTCATAGTTGATGATAGTTGACGAAAGAACAGCATATATCACACTATGTCACAAGTTGTGTGGATATGATACTGGTGTATACCGGTTTTAGATAGATAGATAGATAGATAGGTAGATAGATAGATAGATAGATAGATACACACACATATATATATATACATATATTTGGGCTGCAATGTGTATTGGATAATGCTAAATCATAGGGCACTCTTTGTTGAGGCTTGCGGTTGTGTGGTAGATCACGCCGCATAAAAAATCCCTCAGCGGCTTTGGATGACTCATCCAAGGTCTGGGAGCGGCTGCATGAGGATAGCTTCCTTGAAGATTCCAGCATTGTGGCTGCTGGGGCAAAAAAATGGGATGGATGGAAAAAGCCATTCAGAAACACTATGAATCAAGAAGGAAAAAGCCATGATCCAATGGGATCTATATCATTTGTGATCTATATTAGTATATTAATTTGTTCTCACCCGTTTTCCGTTAGTTCTTGCTGCTTTTTGCTTTGCAACTGCATTCTTGGAACGCCCCAGCAGCAGGGTGCTACCATGGATTCTGCGGACACATGGGAATTGTGCTTTTGGGTAGTGACCTGTGGTTTCTGCGACTTGTTGCAGCTCGGTGAAATTGGAAGGAGAAATTGGAAACGTGAACTGATTGAAATATATCATATATCAAATTAGATGCCAGAGGCGTCAACGATCATCAACACTCATCGACCATCAACCACCATTAACCATGATATACATATTATATATCAGGTATCAATGATCATCGAATCTCATGATGACCAATTAACACAGAATCAACCATCATTAATCCATCAAACATCATCAATTCACCTTTGGTCAAGAATCATTGATTCTGATCAACTATCATGAAACATCAACATTGATGCAAAACAATCATGCATTGATGATAATTGATGGAACTTGATCATAATCAAGCATCATTAAGTCTCAATTGCGAAACCACCATCAGTTCTCATTTCTCAATTCTTCTTCACGTTCTATTTTCAAACTGATTATTGATGATATTTAATGAGAGTTAATTATCAATTATCATCAACTATCAGTACTGTCATTACTATCATTAATGTGGCATTATTGGCAATAATTTATTATCATATAGCCATAATTGACGGCTTCATTACTATCATTAACCACCATTCATTATTTATGACTAACCATCATGAACACATTATTCTGAATGGGTATGCATTCACCATCATTCACCAATAATAATTGCATTTGTTTCATGTTAGTGATGGTTAATAACTATAATAGTAACCATTATTAATACTCATTCACCATATTCACCATGATAATTATTAACCACAACCAATATTGCCATGGTAATAACCTATGAAAATATCCGATAGTAACATTCACCAATAGTAACCATCGAATTCTTCAGCATCAATTTACTCAACCCACGGCACCGAGGTCAGTAGCAAGATCCGGCCCTCCCAGTCACTGCTGGTGGTCACCCCCAACGGCCAGCAGAGGTGTGCTGGAAACTATGCCGGGCGACCTGGAAAGCGGGCCGGGAAAGCACCAGGAATGGCTGGGATGAAAAATGGTGAAAATTGCGATACTGTGATTGTTGGTGATTAGTGGCGGTCAATGGTGGTCAATGGTGATTAATGTTGATTACTGTTGATATACCAAAATGATATGGATTTTGAATGGAATTCCATCATGAACGACAGGGGATGATGATTGGGGGATAACTTAACATAACTATAGTGGAAAATAACCATTTTTCAACATCTTTTCATACAAGCACACCTCTTGGAACTAGGTTGTGGTAAAATCTGTGGCACCCGCCCTGTGACTTCATTGGTGTGATTGGAAGATTATAGCTGGGCCGTTGCCGCCATTTTGCCTGTGTATCCAGCCCCGGTTTGTCTCTGTCTAAAAAGAAAGCAAAAGTTCCGTGCATGTTCTGACAAAACCCGAAGCCTCAACTACGGAAGGCCAAGTTTGAGAATGGGTTCGAATCATGCAAATAGAACGATTCTTCGCACAGATCTCCAAAAGATCATGTAAAAATATGTTCCTTCGAAATAATTCTATGTATATATATATATACATCTATGATGGATTATGATGGTTTTCAATGGATTTCCAAGTGTCCACCCAACGTTTGCTTGTGATGTCCTTTTTAGGTGCTCACAGATGCGGTGGCGCATGGTCTGCCGGTGTGGCAACATCAAAGTGGAAAGTCACCCGGCATTCCCAAGAGGTTTTCTTTGAACATGGGGCACCCGAAGGGGTGGATTTACCTTGTAAGATCGGAAATTGACCAGCAAACATATTCTACAAACGGAAGTTTGTTGATTTACACTGGGTAAGTTGGTTTGTAATGGTTTGTAAGTAATTACAAAGCGCATAGTCTTTACGCTGGATATATCTGTAGTTCGATGTAGTTATAAACTCACTTGTTGCTAGGGTGGCCCGGGTAGACTGATGAAAGTGAGATGTTGGAGATATTTTGTTTTTCTGAAAACCAGATAAAACCAGATGCCCCTGATTTTCTGGTTCATCAATGTTCATCGTCATGTTCTCCATTTCAATGGCCAAACATGATCATAGACACACCATCCGACACACCAGCGCGACAAGTCAGGTCCTACGTCTATTGCGGCACGAACGGCATGGTCTCCCAGCTATCAGAGGAGGTGGGATACATCGACATCATCGACTTCCATACCGAAGACGGAGAGAAAACTGCAAATGTCCAACAGTAAACTAAAGATGTAAATTTAAAAGGTGATGTTCATCATGAAAACATGATGAAAGTGTCAGATAGCCATCTTAATCAGATACCCTCTGGTAATTTGTCACAGTTCGCTATTGAAAATCACCATAGAAATAGTGGATTTGCTCAATTTACCCAGCTAGAAAATGGTGGATCTTTCATTGATTTTCCATTTTTTCCGGTATGTTTACCAGAGGGTTAGATCATAGAATTGGATGATGGGAAAATTTACAGGAAAGCCCTATATTTGATGGTAAAAACCATGGTTTCCTGTAGATTTTCCCTTAAATCAATCCAATGAATAGACCAAGAAAACGACCATGGAAAACCACGGTGATTCTCTGGCGAGCGATCGATCTGAGGCTCTTGGATCATCGGGGGGTCCGATGCAAAGGAGCTGGGCTTCAACTGCTCCAAAGGCACGGGTGGCGGGTGGAATACCATTGGTTCATAGCATTACTCAATGGGAATTCCAGGATCCTAAAATGGAGGTACTGTACCATATAAGGCCATACTTTGTGGGGATATTCACTTACATAGGCCTTATATAGGCCTTTTATATGGTAGGTACCTCCAATCTAGGATCCTGGAATGGCCATTGAATTACTGGTTGGTGGTTTGGAACATGACTGGATTATTTTCCATTTCGTATCTGGGATATTATGGGCTGTCATCCTTCCCATTGACGAACTCATATTTTTCAAGATGGTTAAAACCACCGACCAGATTATCATCGCTCAGAAAATACGATTCTACATGAATAGTGTAACTAGATGTAACTAGACTCCTATGTGGCCAATGTTTAGTGTTGAATAATTGTTGGATATGTTTTATTACTTAGTTATAGTTTCAGAACCTATCGTGAGATCATCATTCCCTATTGTCATAGCTACTCATTAGCTAGTTTCATCTACGGTTGATGAATGACAATGGCTTAACCGAACCCCCATTGACAGCCAAAGATGGTAGTGATGATAGATTGCAAAGACGAGACCGGCCCCTCCATTTTGAGACTGTGGTCCCTGTGACACGATGGTCCATATTTGATATGGATAGATTTGTTTTTAGAGGCTCTCAATCAAGTCCACCAAACACAGAAATACAATACATCATGGTTGCTTGAATTCTGTAACATGCCAGGCTAGATCATATTTTTTGGATTAAAGACAAACGTGTCAGACTGCTTCGGTCTTCCATGCAGGAGATTCCATGGTTTTCCAAAAGATCACCTGGTTGGTGGTTTCACTGATGATGATGATCCCCAAGGGACATATGTTTTGTTTCTCAAGTAAGCTTGTTGAAAAAAAACGCATCAAAACATATATGTCTCAATCATATGTCCTGTTTTATTCTTTGGACTTTCTAAATCTTCTTAATGTCGTTGATATTCTGCTCCATTCTGCAGTTCCAGGTGTGATCTATTCCAAGTGTGCAGCTGGTGGTGTGATGCCTGACAAGGTGGGAACTGTTTAGAGTAGCACCCTGTAGCTGTGCTTCGCGATGAATGTTGATGACTATAATATCACAAACATCGTGGCTTTGATTGAAAATCATGGAACATCTACCGGAAACAATGATGTTCAACATTGTTCAACCTTTAGTGGCGATTCCTACAGTTAAATAGTTCCCAGTCTGGGGGGTCAAATTTTTCCAGTGCTCTTGGCCCGTTCCGCCGGGCAGATCGGGGGACTGTGGCTACGCTTGAGCGACTCCAAGTTTGTGGAAGATTCTGTGCGAGTCCGAGCTTGCTGTTGGGCTGTTGGGAGCTAGGCAGCTAGGTGCTCGAAAGGGAGCTAGGTTATGGTCTTCTCAAGGGACTCAGGTTGATTCCATGTGCAGTACATGTTATGTATATATATATATATATATCTGTGTGTGTATGTATGTATGTATTAGGTGAAACACGCAAATGGATGTATATCCCGTAGTTCCTTTGGCAGACCGGGCTTTTTTCGCCAGGACCTGGTTGTGACCATCAAGCCTCAGAGACTCTATGTGCAGACCCCCTACGGCCAACATAGGCCGTAGGGATCCATGGCTGTCGCTATGGAGATTTTGTGATGCCAGCCATGAAAAGATGTGAAAAGTGGACTGGAAAACACCAGACTCAGACAAATCATGTTCGTAGCTCATTAAGAATGGAAGAAGTGATGAAAGAGAGATCATGGTCGCTGATGTTCCTAGTTCTTTCGGACTTGGCTTGAGCATACGATCTCCGAGGGCTATTTGTAGAGATTTTTCTTTCAAGAACCCACATGAACAGGCATTGAAACGCATCCTGATGAAAAAAGACAGGACCCTTAGAACTTGGCCCAGAAGGGTACCAAAACTACTGTATCCAAAACTGCCATCTTGTTGTTGCTTCCTGCAGGTGCGCGGGGGAGTATGTGCCCCTCTCGGATCGAACGGCCAATGGCTATCCCATTTGGGAGCACACTGCTGGCAGTAGATGTTGGCTCTACTCAGGCGCGCTTCAACAGGTTGTGCTGTAGTCAGTTAGCAACCCAATCAATCGAGGGCGCGCGGACTTCCCCCACGTTTCTTCCATGATTTCATATGTTTCATGTTTTGTCGAGGATATGGAGTTGGCTATCCATGGCAGGCATGGTTCCCAGCCAGGCAACAACGGCATGTGGATCATTGGTGGCAACGACGCCGCAGCCAAAAACTTTGCATGTACCCGGGGCGTGGGGTCTCTCAAGTAGTACAGGGTGCCTTTCGTAGGCCCTTGGTGGGCCCTTGCAAGCTCTCAGAAGTTGATGGCAATCTGGTTTTTACTTGGAGATTTGGTGCCCAAATTCTGACCGCATCCCAACATATCCCAACCTTTCTGCTTTCTTTTTGACCGTTTTGATGTGTGAAAATCAGTTGGCTCTTCAGGTCATTTACTGCCAGAGGGTGCATGATGGAAGGCTGGGGCCCTCAGAAGCCTGCTGTTGATGTGACGTACTGGGAGACACTTGGATGATCCTGGTTGAACCGTGGTTTCAAAATGTGTCAAAGATCACTAGCAGGAGATGATCATAAGTTGTCTCATGTCGATGATCTTAATAGTTTATGATGATTGTGTCAAGTGGGACAATCATCCAGAATTCAGTGGTTCCCGAGTCAATGGATTGGGTGATACATCAAAGACATACTGTGGATGGAAGAAATCCTGCACCAGTTGATAGGTGGTTTATCCCATTATTTATAGGGTTTCAACCAAGGTTGTGCATGATTTCTTCCACCCACCGTTGGGTGCAAATGCAGTTGGAAGATGTCAGTCTTTGCGAGCATGTTTTGATCTCCTGGTTGTAAGGTTATGAATATACAACCCATGTAATGTTGTTACACTTTCAGCCCGACATATACGCACTTCCATTTACCACACCATAAATCACGGAGAGTTATTCGTTGGAAAATGTCATTTGTAGATGTCCGAGCCATGTAATGTGGCAGCTCTATGCGGCTGGGATCTCTCATGGTGTTCTGTGAAAGAAAACGTGGATTTCTTATATTTCACTGGATTGGCTTCAGGGGAAAGCTGCGTGCACACCCAAATGTTCGAGATCATTGAGGGATTTTGAGGTAAATTACCATTGGTTTCCTGTAAATTTTCCCGACACTACCAATCCACATACCCTTTGGTAATCAAACGTGGCTGGCTGGACAATCATCTATAAACCAGGACTTAACTCTTTCCGGGAAAACCATCTAAATGTTTTCCAGCTTGCCCCGTTTGATGACACCTAAAAGTTGCTCTGCCCAATCCTTTGAATTTTCAGATAGCCTACATGAAAAGGACACCCGAAAAGATGGTGGGAAACTGGATGCGCTTGGATGGCGAGAAGTTCCGAGAGGCGACGACGAGGGATAAAATCGCCGGCTGTGGCGACGTGGAATCACAGTTGTAGAACTGGGGAAGTTGGTGCAAGACATGAAAATCCAATGGTTTGGAAGTTTGGCGCATCATTGTGATGGCCATGGCCAATGAAGTTGGAGTAAACCGTATACCCATTGTGTTTGGGGACAGGCCCATATGGAAAAGTGCTGGATTAAAGGCATGGGCCATGGATTGGAAACAGTGTTGGGGGCCAGCAACAGTTGCCTTTGGTGGGGGATTTTGCAGGGAGAAGATTGAGAAGACGAAATACTCAAAGGCAAAGTTTCATGGATTGGTTGAGGGGCGTATTTCCAGAAACAAGAACTACCCTCAACTATGGGGTTTCTGCTTCAACAAATCCGCCAACCATCTCCGGGAGAAGTGGAGCAGCTGGATTGAATTGCAGATCTTGAGCAGCGTCCAAGTCACTTAGTGCTGACCCCAGGACGCAGCCATCGTGGTCAGCACTGACCCGCCTTCACTGCATGTGCTGTGTCCTAGAGGCCAGCAGAGGCCATCGCAGGGCTGGGGGCTGGACATATGAGCTTACAGAATTGCCCCCAAGGTGTGGATATTTGTGGGAGTTTTTGTGGGCAAAATGATGTTGGAAAAAAAACAGCTGTACATATACCTAATTTCCAGCTGGAATTTAGGCTGGCTTTATTGGTTGGATAAAGTCCGCTTGGTTGCTTTGTTTGGATTCGTTTTCGTTGCACCAATTTTACGCCAACATTTCATCCAACAAGGTCTTCAAAAAGATGTAACGTGCCCATCATGGCCCATTTGATGGATCAAAACAAGTGGCCAAATTTGCCAAATTTTGAGATATCCTCTGGTAATTTAACGTAGCTATTGAAAATTGCCATTTATAGTTGATTTTCCCATTAAAAATGGTGATTGAAAACTCAATTGAAAGTGGCCACTAGTCAAAAAACTCAATTGAAAATCACCTGAAAATCCTCAAAAAAATCTGTGAAGCCATCGGTTCTTTCTTTTTGACGTGCACTGCGCTGACTGACTCGCTGACTGCTCGCGCAGGTGTGGCGGGGAGTACCTGCTGCTGTCTGACCGCTTCCGGCACCAGCCTGTTTGGAAGCAGAGGGGCGGTCACCTCAGGACGGCGTCATCAAACATGGCTGGGTGTCATCTAAAAAATCGAATTTTATAGATGATGTTCCTGTCAAAACACCAATAAAAACACCATTTATATCCATTTATACTGGATGTTCAATGGCCACATTTGATTAGCAGGTTTGGTCATGTTTCAGAACTGGCAGGGTATGTAAGATTGACCATGGAAGGTGGTGAGTGTCACACTGGAACATGTTCAGTACTGCTTTGCTTCCAAGTCTTCCAAGGCCAGTAGAAGATATTGGAAGATATTAGTAGAAGCTCAGGTGAGTCATAGCTCATAATCATAGTTCTATTGACAGTGGCGGTTCTAGGAAAAGTCCAGCCAAGCTACATGGACCCATTTGGACAAGTGATATCAACTTCAACTGATCGCAGCAACAGATAGCAAACATTGTTTATATAGGTGAGTCAAGACATGTCAAGACTAAGACCTAGGGCCATGGTCTCCGCATGTCTCCACATGTTTTCTCGTTGTTTTCCACGTTTTGGCATGATATGGTATGCCGATATGCCCTCGAGTTTCCTATTGGTTTCTGGCTCATGGCACCGCTTCGATGAACAGTTCAGAGGAACACTTTCGCCTTTTTCAGGAGAAAACGCCGTGATTTTTTTCATCGTCCAGTTTCCTTTACGGCTATACGCATCTATGCGCAATGATTGCTGGCATCTACCATGGGTACCCATGGGTTCTGCAGATATAGAACATTGAATAACAAATCCCCTCAGTTCCACTGATTGGTGACGTTTGGCATTAAGAATAATAAGTTGACAGATCTTGGATCTTGGGGTAATTGGGGTAAACTATGGTAAACTGACATAGATGAGGAAAACCTAGGGTTTCCCGTTCAGAAAGTGGCTTGAACCACATCTACGTGGGAGGATTTGCACGGGTTCCGCTGGCGCTTGGGAAGTCATCAACGGAACACCCAAGGCGAGGGGCCGTTGAGGGGCCACAGCTGGATGAGTGGGAAAATTGAGAGAATTCCACCGTGTGTTTCGGATGTTGAAAAACCTGGAAACCAACCAACCCAATGACGATTGAGAGGGGATTCTCTAGTAAAAAGGAAAGAAAACCCGGTGGAAAGATGTGAAGGAAAACCTTCTTCGGAAAATATGATAGTTCAATTTTCGCACATGCCGAAGGAAACTGCATGAAAGTCCTGCAGATGGCTGGGGCAAAAATGATCATCCGGGATGAATCTGAAGAGTAGAACGGTTGCATGAAATTGTATCCGTGATCTGCCATCCATGGAATAGAACTCGAGGCAAAGTACGAGGTCCCTATACCCTGCTTCATGACTTTGAAGATTTGCCATTTGTCCAACCCTACTTGTGATGACCAACTCGATTGACCATGCAACCAGGTAAAAACAGTAAGTTATGATAAGTTATGTAAGTATTCAACTTCAGTCAGTGGGATTCTTGTGCCTTGGTTGCGGCCCTGGTTGCCAACCCACATCAAATCCATTCGCATCAGCTCTGACCGTGAAGGAGGGTGGCCTAGAAGAACAGCCTCTTCTGAGATGCCCTGAGCTCAGGAGTTCAAGCCATGAACATGACTGGGATGTGACCAAAAAAGATGCTGGGGCACCCCAGGCCCCAAGAATGCTGATTGTTGTTGTATGTTTATGTATGTTTTTTTGTATGTTTCGATGTGCTGACATGTTTGGTGAAACATTGGTTGTTTCGGTGAAGTGTTGGGTGTTTTTTTTTGGCATGGGTCGATGGTTTCTGTGGAGATTGGAATTGAATGGATGTGGTATACATATATATATATAATTATATATATATATATACATACTGTCCTATATAGTTATAATATCTATAATGTTGATCCATTTTGAGGCTTAATTAGGTTGGATTTACGTATTGGGTGATATGGCTGCAGAACTCTATCAATAATGCGGGTTTCAAACAGGGTGGCAGCAGCAGCCGCCTAACATGTTCCGCCAAATCCCGCGAGGACAGCAGTGCTTTGCGGAGCGTGGTAAATCATGTCGCATGTCAAAATTGCTGATGCTATCAGATATGTGATATGATATGTTTGTTTATGTTCATCCCCACCTGAGATGATAGTCAAGGACAAATCCATCCGATATTACTGTAGTAGATATTATTAGTATTGACATGTATTGACCAACGGAAACCACATTGGAATCTGCGGGCTGCAGGTCAGCAAGTTCATGGCGGCCAGATGCCTGACAAGGCATGCGCTAGATACGAGCCATCGGGTGTGTCCACCCCTTGGGTCCCTCCATGTGTCTCCCAAAGAGTCAAAATCCGTGACAAATGGTGAGGTGATTTCAGCCCAATTTTCCGCGTTTTATGGATGATCATGGATGATCACTCTAGGTGCTGCAACGAAGCTTTGTGTGATAGTTCTGTAGGTGAAAACGGGGGCCTTCCAGATGCCTACATAAATGTCCTAGCGATATTCAGAGGCTGAGTTCGCTCTCCAAATCACCATGAGATGTTCACAGGCCTATTGTGTCATTAAGGACATTATTTCGATGGTAAGATGTTTCTCAAGGTCACAGACCAACTTGGAACAAACCAGCCATGACTAAACATGGTGAGTTTGAATGTTGTTGTCATGTTTATATTCTTACTTGAAACATTATTCCCATATAATTACCCAATCAGTCAGAGCATTGCTCCACTTATCAACTGGTTAATAGCCATGATTTGCAACTCCCGTGGGTGGGGTCATCCGATCAACCCATCAAATACTCAGTGGATTGTGACATCGTTACCAGTCAACGAAGTGAGCCATTGATCTTCCTAAATTACGTCCCACTCCCAATAGCGCAGGGTCAACCGCATAACAAACCAGAAATCAGTGCACTGAAGCCCGAGAATTCCAGAATCGAACCAACATCCTCCAACACTCCCACGGCCCTTGGCTCAGATGCTTTGCTCACCATGGCAGATCCTCCAGGTAGCCCGGGCGCCGAAGCTGGCGATGGCCGCATTAGCATGGTGCCGCCTTGTCGGCTCATCGTGCGTGCCACTGCTGGGGCGCGGGTGATTGGAAAGCAGGGCGCCAATATCAAGGTGGGGTCAACTGCGGTGGATCTGACATGCTAAATGCATCTAAATACGTATTATGGGTATTTATGGGTTTATGGGTGGCTTAAGGCTTAATCACATTTCTTTGGCCTATGACTTAACAAGGCACAACATATGTAATTGTTTTCTGCAGGATATCAGAGACAAGCCATTACTTAGCTGCTGGTAGCGGTAGGGGAGCTTCCAACGGCGGAGAGCTCCCCTTTCTTGGAACATCTTTGCAGTACATGTAAAAATTTCCCATCATTATATTACACATTATAATATATATATATATGTATATATATATATATATGTATAATTATATATATATAGTTATATGTATATCACTATCAGGTCACGGGTCCATGAGTCGCCTGGTTACGAACACTATCACTTGGGAAATTTCCACCATTTTGCTTTTCCAAACGAAGCTGAAGGGCGATTTGAGAATGTGGGCTTCTATTCCAACCCTTTTGTTCAATCAATTTTGAAAATGGGAATATTCAAACAGGTTTTTCGAAACGCGGTTCGTTTCACCAAACACAAACCCAAAAGTTATTTGGACGGTTCATTCCTCTCATTCCTGTTGCACATTGTTGGTGGTTTCATACACTTTACATTTTGTTGCCATAATCATTTATCATGACGGTTGACGTTCCATCCTGGCTTGGAAGATGCTGCTGGCTGAGCATTTTCTTGGGGAGAAAACCGGTGGAATCATCAAACAATTCGCGATGATCTTGCAAAATGTTTTGCCTTTTGGAGTCCAGAAAGGGTTGATCCAACTCATTCTTTCCTGTTTTTGTTTTCTGGGTGATTGGCATGTTAGGGCTAATGGGCTAGTCCTTTGTAGTATGACATATATAGCTTGCAGGAATCTGTGAGATAACGTTTTTGTTGCAGGGTATTCTGCAGATTGTACTCATACTGTTCCCATACCTGGACCATCCTGGATCTATCGGTTCTCCAAATGGAACCATGGAGGTGTTCCAAATCACTGAGGATGAACCATGGGGCAAGGCTTAGCTAAATTGGATGAGGGGGGTTTAGAATCTATGTATTGAATCCAACTTGAAAGTTAGCTAGTAAACCCAAGTAACATCCAGCCACTATATAATAATCATTAATAATCCATATCACGAAAGGTAGCTCCAGAGGGGCTACCTTGAGTTTTACTTTACGAAGTAAAGGGGAGGGCGGCCAGCCCCGTTACCTGATTATTCAGGAGATTGCTAGTCATTTTAGTACCCCCCCCCTTGTTTTTGTTTCGACCTAATACCTACATAGGTACATGCATGAGTATTGAGCACATTTATATGCGCCCTTCAAGGCTCAAGAAAGAGGTATATAGAGTAACCCTGTAGACAAGCACGGACCGGCAACAGGCTGAGTAAAACAAGTGCTGTCATTGGGGAAGACGCCTTAGCTGATCTTGAAGTAGACGCTAGGGCCCCTCTTCAAGTGGTAGCGGAGCTGTGATCCCTCATTGAGGGTGAGCTCCAGGTAGAGCCCAAGAAATGGCAAGCCATGGCTATGATGATGATGACTTCGACATTGTCGATGCAAATGAATGGAACCAATATGACTCTTATGCAATGAGAAGAGCACCCCAGCATACACAGATTCATATGACGCAACAGATGACCACAAAGGTTGCTCCAGCCTATGATGGGCGAACCAGCTTCTTTGCTTTTGAGGATGCAATTGATGACTGGTGTGACATTACGGAGTTAGAACCAGAGAAACGTGGTCCAGCATTGCGCAACAGACTGGAAGGAGATGCTCAACAATACAAGAGGCTATTGGATAGAGAATTACTCAGGGATCCCTATGAAGGAGTGGCTTATTTCAAAAGATTTCTACGACCTCATTTCATCAAAGGTGCCCAGAACGTGTTCTTATACCGTTTCATGCAGTTCATGAAGTTCAACAGAGGAACCATGGATCTTCAGAAGTGGATGACTAGATTTCAACTCACTGGCAATAGACTTATTGAGTCTTGGATGGATTTACTTCCAGAAGTAACAGTGACTAGTCCTGAAGCAATCCTGTTTGTTCAACAACGACGTCAAGAACATGAACGAGATCAACAAGAGAGAGCTGAAGTAGCAGCAGCCTCAGGAGCAGCTCCTCATGTAGTTGTTCCTTGGTCAGATGAACTGGCACTAGCGGCATTCAGACAATTTCAAGAAGATCGTAGACAAGTACAGCGACAAGCATTCCCACTGGGTGAAAATTTGCTAGCATTGATTTTTGTAAGTCTAGCTGACCTGAGTCAAGATCAGAGAAACACACTCACAAGTATCATGACACATCGTGGACGAACCCTCGATCGATACAACATTCAAGAACTACGTGACCTGTTTTTGGAAATGTTTTGCACTACCAAAACAGCAGTTGACAATCCATTGATGCAACCCTCTGGCATGGCACAGAGAAGATCTTTCCTCGTACTGGATGAAGGTGAATTAGAAGGAACCGACGGCTATTGGGCCGAAGATGAAGAAGACGGCGCAGAAGGATTCCTGGATGCCTTAGAAGATGTTTTCTGGGTTTATGATGACGCCAACTTCACATGGTATCAGAGAAGGTTCCAAGGCAAATACATCAGACGAGGCAAAGGTAAAGGAAAGAGAAAAGGAAAAGGAAAAGGCAGAGGAGGACGAAGATTCTTCAGATCAAGAAAAGGAAAAGGCCGAGGAAAAGGAAGAAAGAAAGGCCGCTCTCACATGGTGAGTGAAGAAGGTTATGAAGATGAATGGCAAGAAGATGAATGGAATGAAAACTATGACGGCTATTGGGCCGATGATCAAACCTGGAATGAAGGCTATTGGGCCTATGATGATTCATACTACATGGATGAGTATGGATATTCCAGAGGAAAGGAAAAGGAAAAGGAAAAGGAAAGAAAGGCAAGAAAGGCAAGGATGATGATGGAAAAGGAGGAAAGCCAGGAGATGGAAAAGGCAAGTCGAACTATGTTCAACCTCAGACCACATCAGCTCCTGCCATACAGAATCAACCAACTCAACAAGCTCATTATTCTTCTGCAGCTTCAAGTTCTGGTCATGGTTTCTTTTCATTTGGAACAACTGAACCAGCACGTGTTGATGTTGCAGAGACAGAGCCAGCACGTGTTGATGTTTTTACATCCACGTATGCAGCACAAGATGAACAACGACGTACTCGTCGTGGAGGACAGAACCAACGTGATGCAAGAGCACATCAAAACAGGAGAGAAATGAAGAGATTCCCTGTTCTGGTTGGAGAAGTTGGTGCACTACGACAAGGTGTACAACAACGTCCAGCTGTAGTGCCCAGGCAAGTTGGTCTTCAAGAAGGTGAGGCTTCATGGAAGCCATTGGCAGAAGGCACATCATTGTTTTCACATGGATGCTCTACAGAGATAGAGGAACCATCACAGCAGAGTGCTTTTTCATTTCATACTGTACAAACTGATCTGGCATGTGAGAA